TGTTGTTGTTGTTGTTGTTGCTGCAACTGCTGACTCCTTTTCCACGCTTCTCTCTGGTAACGTCTTCTTGAAGCTGTTGTCACTACCTGTATTAGCTTCCTGTCTGCCTTCAACCTTTCCATCAAAATCAAAAAAAGCAGAAGATGAACTTACCCAACTCCCTAGCCTTAACCCGATGCTCCTCCAAAACCCACTCATTCTCCCCCTTCACCAGCTCCTCCGGACACCTCCACATGAGCCCGATTGGATGTCCCAGAACCTTGGCCGCCTGCATAACCTGGACATGCACCGTCTGGAACCTGACCCCCTCATACTCGTCCCACGTCAACGGCAATTGTTTGCCCAGGTTTTTGGGATCGTACCGCGGCCGCTCGTCAAAGATGAGCGAAAACTTGTCCGAGTCTTCGGTGCGCGGCAGCTTGGCGTTCAACCGGTAGTAGTTGCAGTTCAGACCGCCTGCGGTGCGGTAGAGACCTGGGAAACGCGCGTTGTACCGCTTTTCGATCTCGGCCCATGGAACCTCGAGGTCGTCTTTGTGGTAGATGATAAACAGGTTTTGCTCGGGGGTGTATTGGATATTTTGCTTCTTGCCTTTGCTGTTATTGTTGTTGCTGGTGATGGATCTCTCTTCGTCGGGGACTTCGGATGTTTCGTCGTCTGTGTTTGGGCCGGGAGAGTATAATGAAGATGAGGATGATGAGGCAGACGAGCAGGTGGATGACTTGCGGTCACTATAGCTGCTGCGGTGGCGCAGAACAGCGGCGCTTTCGTATGGGGAGTGTCTGCTTGCCGTGCGATGGCTCTTGCTCGGGCGGGCTTGCAGTTTGTTGGTATAGGCGGAGAAACGGGATGAGAAACCACTTTCAAAAGTCGTCGATGCTTGTCTTTTCTTCTGGGGACTGGCGATCGATGATAGAGAAGCGGAAGAAGAGTTCTTGTAGCACACGTCTGGGACGGAGTAGGGCCGTGGCAGGAAAGGGGGTTGTCGGCTGCGCTGGGCTTGACTCGGGAATGTGGAAGACGAGGAGGAGATACTGCAGGTCGGTGATGACAGCGGGGTGAACATGCCTTGCTGGAAAGGCATGGTAAAGCGTGGTGAGGGATGGCCGGAAGATGTCTGGGGTCGATGCTGGCTGAGTTGATGCTCAAAAGGTGAGGGTACAGCATTCAAAATGTGGGAAATCGGAGGGAGGGAGAGTTGCTGTTGCTGCGGTTCGAGCAGACAGCGCATGTTGGACCCTGAGCGAGTGTCAAAGTTGTTCATGCTTGCCTTTCTCTTCAAGTCTGAGTCAGCAGAGGACACTGAGGAGGTGATGGAAAGCCCGGAGAGGGCTCCGGAGAAGTAGTCCGAGTCGACCGAGGGTCTTCTGCTCCAAGAAACGGACTGAAAGCTGCAACTGGGGCTCAACTGGATCGAGTTGGGTGTGGAAGGTGGTGATGGGAAGGATAGTTCGTTGAGTCTGATGTTGGGGAGTTTGATAGGAGCGAGTGTCCTCGACTCGAACTCTGCCCCAGAAGACAAGCGTTGTGAGGTTGTGGAAGATATGATGATAACTTGTAATGTTGAAGTTGTTGTCTGAAGTTGTGATGATGATTGAAGTAAACCGATGCTGCGATACTATCGTGGTTTTGACGAGGTGGGGCTCGAAGCGGTTTATGTAAAGATTTCTCGACTGTGAGGGCTCGAAGTGAGGCAAACGATGGACAAGAACGGACAATGTGATGATACAAAGCAAGTATGTAAGTGGTGATGCTTGTAGGTAATCCGAGACCCTGGATGGAGATCATCAAGGGACCATAACCCCTATATACTTAACGAATGGGGCCTGGGGAGGGAAAAGAGGTGGGTGATGAGGGAGGGGGGGAAGTAGGTATGACATCTGCAACCTTGTCGTCTCCATCGTTTTGAAGACAGGCATCCTGTAGGTGTGGCAGATAGATATCTTCCCCCATTGCATTTGGTAGCATGCGAGTTTCATGATAACATAGACATATCAGGCAGCCCAAAAGACAGACTAACCCATCCGTAATCAATCGGCATTGCTCTCCCAGGGCAGTTAGCCAGAAATTGAAGGTGAGCAACAGGTACAGTGAGCCGGTGAGATAGCAGTGTAGCCAAGGTAGGTAGGGTAGACAAGTGGGGATCACTAGTACACAGGACCTACATGAGCATGCCTACCTTGTCTAGTTTTCTTCCTAACATGTGTGTTTGTTGTCGTCCCCCATTAGCGGGTAAGCCAGTCTCTGATGTGATCCTTTCTCCTCATTGACTTGTCAGGCCTCGTCTCTGCCCTACCAGTTATGCCCCCCTGCCCTACTACACAGAAACCATGTCGTCGACATGGGACCCCGTATTCGCCAAGCGGCCGTTGGCCGATGGGCATGTCAACTTTTGGACAACGACGACCACTTTCAGTTAGATGAGTAGTAGGGGTATGTGGCAGTAAGGGATGTCTGGTGTCGTTCGTAAGTCGTAACTGTCGTAGTGGCCCCCGGCCGGGTATCGCAGCCAGGACCTAAGAAAGGCCAAGTCCTGTTATGAGCGGCATACATAGTCTAATGTCTGAGACAAGCAGGCGGCGAATTAGTCTCAATCAGCCGCCAGACGCTCTTTTCTTGACTCTGGCTCGTCTCTGGTTCAAAGGGTATTGTATCACTCAGTTGCGGGGCAGGGGCGCGAACTTGTTTTTGCTTCTTCCAGGCGTACTATGAAGTCTCCAACAAGCTTCATCCATGAATGTTAGCATCAGTCTGTTCCCAAGAACTTGGAATCCGAAGACATCATGATTACTGAAATAGCAGCAAATGAGGGGATAATGTGATGTATGTAGCAGTCATTGAAGTCGAGTTTCGGCTTGGCATGGGCGGCCAAGTAAAAGATGGGGTCCTAGCCGTAACCCTAAGGATCAAGATCTGGAACTTGCCGCTGTAGACGACTCCAGTAGGTATCTTCCTAGAGCTAGTCAATTAGTGCTGTACCGGATTCTGGAAGAGGCAGTAACCTCGGGACGCCAACGTGCTTGAGTTTGGTCTTCCTTTTTGTTGGAGGAGTAAAGGGTCCGGGATCGATGCTGGTGGTGTAGCATCTCGCTTTCGAGATCCGAACGCCGGTCTACTTGTTGGAAGTACCTCATGTAGGCTACAACACAAGAAACCCTAAAACCCTTTGTTTACTTGACCAATTGGGATCGCTGGGCGTGGTTGAAGAAGGCAAGTCTGTCCACTTGCGGTTAGCGGCATTTTGTCGATTGGTTTTGAGCAATGGGTGTGAGTATTTGGGCTTGGAAAAGCCAAAGAGAGATATACCTGTGGAAGGGCCTTACACTGTGCGCATTGGACTTACCTAACCAGACTTCTCACATACTGCGTAGCTAGCCATGGCCCATGGCCTTGGTTAAGATCTCTGGAACCATACTCCTTTTAGTTTCAGGTGCATTTTCATCCTCTCACCATGCATGGAATCCATGGTGGTGTGTGTAAGGAATCTTGCCCATATACACTGTGTAACACTCGTCGTCGTCGCTCAGAGAAGCTTGACCCCGTCAAACTTCCCCCTCGTTTTTTTTTTTCATCGCGGTCCCTAAAACAAGGACCGGGGATAGTCCACCAACGTCGGCGATTAGTGTGTCAGAAGCACATTTTCAGCTTTAACTAAAGATTCAGGCCGGTGCAGCAGTAGTGTAGTTCAAGTTGGCTCCTCATGCCCCCCTCGAGAACGGCGCGGTGTCGTCTGTGAATGGTTCTTTCCAGCCTCTGAGAAGCGTGTGTTGCTGTCTGTCTGTCTGTCCGTCTGTCACAGGGACATTCACTTGCAGGTCTGCAGCCTGTGGGTTTCTTCGGCCGCGGTTCCTTTCTCGCAAAGAAGAACCGCTTCCAGCAAGCCCAGCTATCTGGTATACCCGTAGCGGTTGCTGTCGCGGTTATTAGCGTGTCGTGTGGTTAGCCTGGAGGTGTTGATGGACAAGGACAATAACCTGCACAGGATCAAAACCGAAGGGTCGGCACTGGCACAGCGGAAAACCACCTGCCCAGCTTATAGCCGGATACCTTACTCAAGGTAAGTTCAGAGGGCAGTGTCGAAGACGACGATGAAACTCGCCTCTTGTTGCTGTTCCCGCTCACAGAGAGACAGCGTTTCCCTCATCATAAGCCACAGTCGTACTCCCGGGGAACAGAAGGATGAACGCCAGGACGCCACCTCCAAGCTTTTGCTGGGACACAACCCTAAAGATTGTAGTGGGTGGACAACCCGGGGATTGTGTGATGCCCGGATCTGATACCAGTAGATCTGGTAACCTTTCCCGGATTTTGAAGTGACTGATGCTTCCCCCATTTCGAGTAGGTGGTGTTATCTAAAATGACGGCGCTGCCCTGTTCATTCCTCTATACACACACATATGTTAATATGTGGCTTCTTGCTCACCCGTATGTAGTAAATGGGTATGTGCCCAGGTGTTCTTTTACTGGATTGGCAATTTCCTAGGTTCTCTTCCCATGGCTTGCCCGTCTTGCATCGACTTCATTTTCTCGACAACAGTGAGAGTCATATCTTGTCCGGACCATGGATCTCAATCGACATTTTAATGGTCGCATTCTATTTGATGCTAGGGATCCAATTCGCCTTCTCGCTTGCCGTTGCCAAGGGCGGTAGTTTTGTACATAGAATAAATAATGTACAGTACCATCCATTCGTTCTGGCCTTTAATGGGTACGTAGGTAGCATCGTTCTTACCACAGTCCGGGAAACTGGAGAACGGGAATGTGGGCGGTAGAGCGGTGAACAGCGGGAATGACGAGACCTGACACAACAGGACGTTAGACTCCACGATATACATGAGATAGGATAGGTGATAGATAGGTAGTGTCTACTATTTTCGGTGTACCTAACCTCAAACAACGTGCTTTTCATCAGTACCTAGGCCAAGTCCAGTATGGGATTCTCTTTTGCTCATCGTCGGTGTTAAGTGTGGCCGATACTTTGACACTGTCTTGACGTACCGTGTGAGTGTACAGAATAACGTCAATGTCACGAGGCTTGGCTCGTAAATGACTGCGTTAGTTAGTATACACTATCAAATTTCAAAGATACGCAAGATGCTAGTGTGATGTACACGTAGGGCTATACTATACCTAGTCAGCAAGTGTACGCGTGGAATGAGAAATCCATAGCGTGGCATATTGTGTAAAGGGTACGTGAAATGATAGAGACTGAGAGAGCATTTGAACCAATTGGAAAAACGCACTTGCAACTGTTTGTAACCTTGCAAAAAACTGCGCAATCCGATAGACGTCAGTCGTGACCAAGTTGGGACAAGGACGTTTCCAGCAGGGCCCTTTGTTAATGGCTTGGTGCAGTGTCAGAACACAATAGGCATACGGCTTTTACTCAGTCGATATGGTTTTAACCACTGCTGTCATTGGATCGGTCCCAAGAATCGTCCGACCCGAACTCAACGCGCGAGAAGATTGGTCAAAGCCAAATATACCCGGCGCCATACCTAGTTGAGTGAAACCATATCGACTGAAAATTAGCGGTAGTCCCCTTTCCAAACAGCCTGACAGCTCTTGGTGTGTCAGCTAGATTAGTCCCGTCGGTAATAACCTTATAATCTATACGGTAAACGCCACGCATGGTTCTCTCTAGTTAAGAGAAAAGACTTGCCTTGACTCGGCCTTTTTTGCTTTGCTTTTGTGTAGAGGCAACCTTGGGGTCGGCTTCGCGGTTCCCAGAAGAGTAACCAGTTAATAGTGTAGTGTAGTACGTAAGAAGACAAGGGAGCCGACGAGATCGGATCTCACAGCAGTGCTCTCGATTGCTCTTGTATCGTGTCAATCTGGTCTGTCCGCTCTCACGGGACTCGTGTGTAAAAGCCAGCTGCGGGCTCGAAAAGCTGGGGCTGTGCCGTGTGCACAGTATAATACCACCATTGGATCTTCCCCCATCATCAATCAATCCCCTTGTTTACTTTGGTCGTTGGGGTCGAATAACAAAAAGCCTGCAAGGGATTCTTGGCAAGCTACTGTGCACCGACGAACGATATCTCTCTCAGAGGAATAGAGCCGTGTGTCAACCGCCGCCGCTATGGAAAATATTTCCTTGGTAGGAAGAGGGCAGGAGGGGAACATTTTGATGTATCAGATTTTGTTATCGCCCTTCAGCATGGAATCTCATTACCACCACGGGACACAGTCAAATTTCCCCATCTTTGTTCGCTCATCTCGCGCTGCAACGACAATGCTGTGAAAGGACATGCAGCTTCTCTGACCGCTTCGATTACGCACAGCTGACGAGACAAAACTTGGAGAAGGAGGAGGAGGAGGAGGAGGAGATGAAGGAGGAGGAGGAGGAGGAGGAGGGGAAAGAAAGGGCATTGTGATGGGAATGATTGGTTGGATAGGTCCGTCAAGATTTCGGGGGTTTTGATAATGTGTGGGTGACACACCCGTAGGGATGGGAGGAGTGAGAACTCAAATTCGTCATCGGCCGAGAGATGACGGGTAAGATTCCGGTGTGTGGTGGTCAAAGTTGTAGCATGAAAAATTCTGAAGAAGAAGCAAAGAAAGACAGCGAACTCGACCGAAGCGTGTTCACTTGTTTCTCACTCACTCACTCACTCTTTCTCTCTCTCTCTAACGCCGTCAGCCCTTCGCACCTCGCAGTACGTATACTCGACTCGACGCCCCGAATCACCGAGTGAACCCCTCTGGCTTGCAGCAGCAATTAGCAAAGCCAAAGTTCCAATAGCCCGGATTGCATTCACTGGCCGCCTACCTGCTGGATCTGGTGTAACTAAGGCAGGCATGTTCCCCGTCCTGTCAATCATCTGAATCCGTTCTTTTCCTGGGGCACGACACGGAGTAAAAGCCGGGGGGACGAATGGTTGGCGGCGAAGCAGGGACAAAGTTGTTCGTTGCCAAAGATCGTCCATTTTTCTTTCTTCTCTCGTTACTCAGGCAACTAACGGCTGTCAGAGACGTGTGCAATCACATTTGGTAACGAGGAAAATTTTTCATGGCAATCGACATACGTATCTCGAGAGACCCTTTCTGCAGAACGCATTTCTGTGATGGAAATGCCGATAATCGTACGGTCAATGGTGGCCTTGGATCCATAGTGAAGCGTTCGAGTGAGTGCCCCCCTTCTTAATCGGCGAGATCGACATGGCGGTCTCAAATTATCATGGGCCTTTTTGGAGGATGCGTTCATGCAAATTTCATGTCCTAAATGTCGTATTTGGGTGCATGAAGGACCACGCAAGGCCTCGTAGTTCTCTGTCATACACATCGTTTTTTTCGGCTTCTTTTTGTTCTTTTTCACTTTGACTTGCAGTAATGAAAAGTTAGGCAAGGGAGAGAGCAAGTCTGTCTCATCCTCTCATCTTATCCCGTTCTAGAGACGAGAGCCACCACCGGTGGAAGATTTCCTGTGAGACTTGCCACTTTCCTTGTTGCCCTCCACGACGACGCCCAGTGATATTCCAGCATCCAGCATGCTCTTGTTGGCCCCTGGGGCATCCTTAAAGGACTCGTCGCCCGAGAACCGCCTATATGTGCGTGTGTGGCTTGGTTAGTCGTGTTTCTTCTTACAAATCAGGGGTGGGTGGTATCATCAAAATAACGAAAGCGTTGGATTAATCAAGAGAGGCTCGCTTACCATCCTCTTTCCTCTCCCTGAGAAAGATGTGAACAGTCACTGTTGAGTTCGCAGTTCCAACCACCCCCTACGCCGCGGCCACCCCTCCAGACTACGGGAGCATGAAGATCCTGCTGCCGTGGATCACTCTCCGCACCCTGAAGACCGTCGGTACCTGCTTTTGCGGTTTGCTTTGCCGTTCCAGGCGTGCTCCCAAGGACGTTGCTGGCGTTGTTCGAGCCTCTACTGCTGGAATCCGTCACTGTCTGGGCCCGAGGTGCACTCGCACTCACACTGGCCGGGCTTGTGGCCGTATGAACTCCATTGGCTCCTGATGAAGCCCCCTTCCTTCGCCGAAACACACTAAGGCCGCAGGTAAAGGCTCGAAAGTCTTCGACCTCGATGCTCTCCGGCATATTGCCGGTCAGAACACGGCCAAGAGCAATGATGGGGGCAGCGTGCGAACAGAGGAGGACGGCACGGATGCCATCCCTATCACACTCTGCAATCAGCCGCTCCAAGGTAACGGCCAGGCGGTCATGCAGCTCGTCGACGCTCTCGCCCATCCGCGTCGGTACTACTGCCGGCTGATAATCACGGTCCAGCAGGGAAGGGAAATGAGACTCGAGCGTGGCAAGACTCGCAGGTACGGGGTGTTCGAACGGTGCCGAACCGTACCATTCGCCTAGTCCTGTCTCTCCTCGAACCTGCAGCTGGCGTTGCAAGTGGCGAGTGGTACCCTTTTCGGCATCTTCTGGCATAGACGACGGAGAGGACGATGCTGATCGGACGAAAGGTTCCACCGTCTGTAAACAACGAAAGTAAAGACTGGAGTAAACACGCTCTATGGGCGGTTCGGCTGTAAGCAGACGCTGGCCCAGCTCCTTGGCTTGATCTACGCCATGGGCAGTGAGGGCTGGGTCTGCGGCAATACCCGTAGGGGACCTGAGAGTGGACGAGTAACTGCCGTTGGTATGGTCAACCAGCCAGTTGGACCGAAACTGTGAGCCGTCCCTTTTGTGTCAGCTTAATTTTCTACTTCTAACCAAGGCCAGCCCGCCCTAGCCGTGACTCTCGAGAACGCCAGCATTCTGGCAGCTAGCTGGAGGTCTGCCATGAGAAAGCTTGTTATCCATATCGTGACGGTATGGGTTTTTCCATGCTTTGATAACAGTTTACACCAGAGCTGGCGCTGGCACGGCGGCGGTGACTGACCCCCAGTGGTCATGAACACGTTCATTGTCCACCGAGCAGAGGGATTGATGTCACGTTGCGACGCCGAGTCCAAGGGTTTGGTAGCGTACTATTCTACACTACTAAAGTCTCACCGCAGAGAGGCTTGACACTGGGAAATAAGAAAAGAAAGAAAGGACGGGGAAAGGGAAGGTGATATCAGAGTGGCACTTACACCGTGACGCGTTACGTAGATAACCTCCAATGTCATGGTGTCTGGACCGAGGTGATGTCAAATAATCTAGATGTTGCAATTCTCGTAACGGGAGATTAGCTGGCGGGTGTTGTCTCGTCGTTTTCGGCGGTTTGTTGCTGTTCGCCAGTTGATGTCAGAGAGCATGACAACCTGGAGGCGGATGGTGTGTTGTTGTCCAGCCACTTCAAACGGATGGGGCGCCGAGGTTCAGCGGGTCTGGATGTCTAATTCCCGGGTCCTGACCCGGACCGAAAGCGATCGGGCAATTGGCCCCCAAGGAGGCTGATAAAGACCTAAGCCGGTTCTTAACAGTTTGTCGTGCCAAGTGCGGGGTAAACAGTTAGTGCTGAGCCAGTTCCCCTAACGTGCTAGCACTTCCCCATATATGACCTGTCGTTATTGTGTGGTAGGAGAGAATACAAAAATAGAGAGCGCGTATCATATCCCTCGGTTGGTATTATGTAAATCCAGATGAGCTCGATGTTGTACATTCACCTAATCACCAAAGACGCGGGGTTGACGTGGGACTCTGGCCCCTGTTGAGCTGGGCACAGTACGGCGTAGCGTACATACTCGTTGACACTCTCTTCTCATAGACGTCCACTCCTACGTACACAGTTGTTGAAGGGTCCTGGATAGGTATCTGGTCTCCTGATGGTTACCTGGCCCGGCTGCCCGCATATGGCTCACGGTGTTGACGTTTGGCGACAAGCGAGCAGAGTTATGGATCCGAATGCTATCAGTCGTTGCTTGGTAATCATCGCTGTCTCAATTTGGCTTCGTGCTCTACCCAGAAGTTCTTGCATGCCCTGTGCCCCCAGAAGTCGATCCACCACTCACCAAAACTGTCCTCGACATCGAAGTCAACTCCGGTAACTCTCTCGTCCCTCTTAAGGCCGCAAACCACACAGGGCTTCGGTGCCGTGGGTACGTTCTTGGCTACATGAACCTGGAGAGCGAGCTTAAGCTGGGGGACCCTGAGTTTCGTATCAGAGGCGGCATTGGCTGCCGTGACTGTAGAGCGCAGACTTCCCTCCTGCTGGGACCAGACATCCAGAACCGCAACAGCACTGTGATCGTCTCTAGCAGATTGAGTCTTGTCAACAGTGGCAAGCTTCATTCCCCTCATGCCTCCTGCGGCTGAGATGGACATGCCCTGCAGGAGAAACTTGTCGCGTTGCCACCGTTGCTTCCGGCCAGCGATGATCCTGCCTGTCACAGTGGCCAGGGCCAGATAACCGCGCAAGAATGCCATTGTAGCAGGGTCGGAAACAACAGCATGCTGTTTGGCTGCGGGGAGAGCCTTGATCTTGAGAAGGCATGTTTTGGAGAGATCGAGGAGCTGGGGTAGTGTGGAGAGCAAGATGGAAGGCGGAGGCACGTTTGTAGGCGGGGGACTTTTGTCAGAGCCGGCGGTTGGGGAAGCAACCCCGACGACCTTTGGTGTGTTGTTCTCTGTTTCTCCCCAGTCCTTCCAGTCTGAGTCAAAAGAAGAGTCTAGGTCTGGTCTCTTTGCTGGCGCTTTGGCATTACCAGCCGTCTTTGCCGGTGTCTTGGTTTTAGTGACGGAAAGGTCTTTGAACTCATCCCAGTCATCCCCAAAACCATCACCAGTACCTGACGGCCATGCTGTGACCGGGGAAGGTTCTCGGTCCTTGACCTCTTTAGGAAAGTCGGAGGCCACTGGTGTCTTGATCTTGAGCTCCTTGACATCACTGAGTTTTCGAGTATGGGATGATGCGTAAGGAGACTTCGGCGCTTCTGGATATAGAGTTTGGGAATTGCCACCCGATAAGAAAAGGCCAGGCGGCTGTTTCCTGGCTTCTTTCGTGCCGGAACTGGCGACTGAAAAAGCTGGCGCGGGACTTGAAGTGCCTTCAAAGTCACCGAACTCATCATCATCGTCCTCACCGTCTACCTCCTGGAGCTCAAAGTCATCGGCATCAAACAAGACGTTTGGGTCCGCGTTCCGGATAGGCTTAATCACAGGTTTCTGTTTCTGAGTTGGCCTACTGTCAGACGGCTGAGTAGCAGTCCAAGACAAGTCCAGGTTGACAAGCTTATTGGACACCAGGTCAAGTGTTGGGCTTCTGATGAGACGGTTCCGTGGTGGTTCGGCGTTGCTAGTCGCAGAGAACACGCTTGGTGTAGGTTGCGTGGGTTGTGCGGTTGTGGTAGGGGCGGCAACCTCAAAGTCTCCCCAGCCGTCCTCATCCTCGACATCCGGCGCAGCGGGTTTCGGAGGCACCGGAACAGGTGGTACGGACTGGAAACTCTGGAAGCCTCCTTGGGAACCACCTAGCGTGCCGAGATCGCCCCATACGTTCGACTGCGGAGGTTGACTATTAGGCAATACTGACGGCCATGGTATAGAGACAGAAACCGGTTGTTGTTGTTGATGCGGTTGAGGGGGCTTTGGCTGCTGTGTTTGTGGTTGTTGTGGCGGAAATGTACTGTTGTCTGATGCCAAGAAAGAAAAGGGGTCATTGTTGTTATTCTGCGTCGACTGAGAGCTCTGGTCCTGGGATGAGGCCCCAAAGGCCGCAAAGAGGTCGGCTGACATGAGGGTTGTGCTTCTAGGAGTCGGTGAATTGACCAGGTCGTATCCAGAGAACAAGAACTAGTCGAAAGTTTAGAAACAAAACTCCAGTCCGAAGTTGAAGCAGTAAGTGTCGTCAAGGACCCAAATGAAGTTCAGAGGAAGCTTCACCGATTCACGGGGTGTTGTCGTTGGCGTTGGCGGCGTCTGGAGGCGGTAACGACGGAAGAAGCCGGCTTTATTTGCCCGGTTCAAAATTTCGGGTTGCTTTGTGACAAATTGTAGTCCAATAAAAAAGGGTCGAAGGTGGATGTGAATGCTGACCTGGAGACAACTTCACTGTCATAGTTGGTGTTGAGAATGAGGATGAAATGGACAGGCCGGGGATGCCTGCCGGGCAGTGGACGTGACGTTGGTCGTCAACACGGAACAGCGGACAAGTCCGTCGGCCCCACTTTGAACTCCCCTGACCGGCCGAGGATGCCCCACCATTCAGTGCACTCACACTTCCCACAGAGCGCTGAAGAAAGTCTTGGCAGCCAAGAACCGTCACTGGGTCACTCAACCACCATCATGCACCACAGTACCACCCCTCTACCCTACCCTCCTGCCTTCACAGATTCAGCTTCACGGCACTGAATGACGACGGGAACATTCAGGATTCTTGACTTCCGTCCCATCTTTCTCACATCTCAACTCCGCTGATGGCGTCTGTTCTCAAAGATATATATACATCACTCGCCATTAACAACCCTGACCAACCTTTTTGTCAACAACCACAATAGCATCACCCAAGGTCACTATATCTTCGGAAACCAAGTCAGGAGAGTATTTGGGTTGTGCCATCAACGACGTCGCACCGTCACCCAAATCATGAGACCATTGTCCGAATCAAAGTACGTTTCATTACAGCGTCTATATGACCACTCCCTAGCATAATGCTGACTTGTCCTCAGGTCGAGATGGGAAGAGACACTGCGATATAGCTCCAAGCCCTCCAGCTTCTCGGATCTTCAGCAGGCCATCAGATGCCATCCCCAGGACAGTCCATGTCTTACAGGATGTCGCTCCGTTTGCTGGAAGATCCTCCTTCTATTTCGAGACTCACCAACTGAAAAATGGGCCGAGACATTGAGCGGATGTCGCAACGCATATACCGCCATCTACGAGAAACATCTTCGCTTTATCAAACATCCCGAACTTCTAGCCGAACTACCGGTTGACCCCCTGGCAGACGACCCCGACTCTCCTTGGGAAGTTGTGCGCAAAGATGAGCTCATCCGGTCCGAGATACTGCAGGATGTCCAACGACTGCCGGATGACCCCCTTTATCACCAAGACTCTGTCCAGGTTATGATCCTTGATATCTTGTTCCTCTACTGCAAAATTAACCCTGGCGTGGGTGGCTACCGCCAGGGAATGCATGAACTTCTCGCCCCTATTGTTCATGCTCTTACCCAGGATGCTCTGGACCGAAAGACGGTAGCAGCCGACGATGAGGAGGTCGACCCTCTTATGCTTGACATGTTGGACTCAGCCTACGTTGAGCACGACGCTTACACTATTTTCTCCATGCTCATGGCACGTGCAAGCGCCTTTTACGAAGTGGGCAGTGATAAAACGGGGGAACAAAACACCATCATCGAGAAGAGTAGGCACATTCACGACGAGTTGCTGATGCAGGTGGACCCTGAACTTGCAAGCCATCTCAAGGAGGTTGAAATTCTTGCTCAGATTTTCCTCATTCGTTGGATCCGCCTTTTGTTCGGCAGAGAGTTTCCTTTCGAACAACTGCTTGTATTATGGGATACTATTTTTGCTCTTGACCCGAACCTGGATCTGATAGATCTGATATGTGTAGCCATGCTACTGAGAATTCGATGGACATGTGAGACCATTCTTCTTTCTTTCTTTGACACTTTCCAAGTCAAATTGCAAGCGACTGACACCAAGGGGGAAAAAACAGTACTCGAATCTGACTATGCCATGGCCTTACAACTCCTCCTCCGCTACCCAGTCCCTCCAGAATCACAAGGACCTCACACCTTCGTCGACGACGCACTCTACCTACGAGACCACCCCAACGCAGCTGGTGGCGCTACCATCATCTTCAAACACACCGGAAAACACCCACTCTCGCTCTCATCAGCAACAGCAGCTCCTCCTTCAGTCACCAGCCCAGGGCCCCTTCCTCAACCACCAGCCTCCCCCTCCAAACACAGCGGCTTTGGTAGCCTACGCCAACGAACCCTCGGAGCCCGCTCACCCCTTTCCTCCCTCCAACAACCCGGCGGAGTCGAAGCCCTTCTCTCCGGCGCTGCTAAAAACATGATCGAACGCGGCGAGAAGCTAGGCATCAACCAAGCTGTACGGGACGCCATGGGTGAGATCAAGAAGGGTATCCAGGAAGCCCGTTCATCTGGTAGTAGGACTCCAGCAGGCCGTGGCTCTGGCTCTTTACGAGACGGGTATCAGAACCAGAACCAGCAGGTCTACCACCCGCCACAACACACGGTTGCGAGCATGCAGAGGAGGAATAGGCAGCTAGCTGCCATGTTGGACGAGTCGGTTACTAGTCTCAAACAGCTTGCTGCTGCTTCGGGGTTAGGAGGGGAAACGGCCGCCGATGACAAGGAGAAACACGTCGAAACCGTGGAGCTTGCCGCGGCGAGGATCCAGTTTGTTAAAGCGTGTCTGGAGGATTCATCGCTGATATTGCCTGATTTGGAGGAGTCCGCCGCTGTAGTTCCTGAGCGTGAGCCGCAAGTACAAGTACCGTCGTCCCCACCACCCTCGGCTTCAGCTCCAGCTTTCAACGCCCTCAGTCTCTCACCTTCTCACCACAGAGGCAGCGGTGATTCGAGGGCGCCTACTGTTGCGTTGGATACAACGCCCGTGGTGATGACTTCTTCGGTTGTGGAAGATGAAGCAGCAGAAGGGGAAGGGGAAGAGGAAGGGGAGGTTAGTATATCGCAGGCATCGACCATCACTACTTTTCCCTCTGCACCACCAGGAACAAGAGTGGAAGCAGATGATGAACCGCCCGAGCCCCCAACGGAGATGATGGCCACGCTCCATAACAACATCACCAGCATAAACAACAAACCCAAAACTGACCCCTCATCATCCCCTGTTGCCAGCCAAAAACTAGACTCAGCCGATCCAGAACCACCATCATCATCATCATCATCATCATCACCACCACAACCACAACCACAACCACAACCACAACCAGAATCCCAAGAACCACAACCAGAGCCCCAAGAACCACAACCCCCAACACGCCCCCAACCAACCCCTCCCCACCCGCTCAACAATAGCCCAATCCTCCTTCGCGTGGATGCTCGAACCCGAAGATTCTCCCCTCCCACCGCTTATCCCCGGCCCCGCCTTCTTGTCCTCCTCCTCTTTATCGCCAACTAACGCCCACGCCAACGCCAACGCCAGCCACCACAGCAAAAATAATCCCTTCCCATCTCCCCGTTCACCAACGGCCGCTTTTCCAGAATTAGGATCAAGCGCAGCTCTAGCTAAAGTCGTAGGAGGCGAACCCAAAACGAAACCCAGAAAAAAGAGCTTAGGAAGAAGTAACAGGATGAGTAACGCCTCAAGGGAACGTAATGCGTTTCTTTTTGGCGAAGAACGACGACGACAACGGTGTTGAACACAGGGCCGGGGTTGGAGGTGGAAGTGGAGGTGGAGGGAATAAGTTGGGAATAGGGCCGTTGGGAGATGGGATTTTTGGGCTGGAGGTTATTTCGAGGACTGGTAAATCTGGTAAGTCTAGTAAGGAGAAGAGTAGCAGTGGTGGTGGTGATGGGAATGGGGAAGATGAAGGGTTGAAAGGAGATGAGGGGGTTGAGATTGAGGTTGAAGGAGGGAGGTGATGTGATGTGGAGTGAACACGATGGAATTCCTTGCAAGTACTTATAGCTACTTATAGCTACTTATACATTTAGTAATCCTAGTGATTGAGATGCTGTCTCTGTCTGGCAAGGCGTATTATTGACCTTGGTAACGGACTGCGCTCTAGACTAGTTCTAGGATTGCCTAGAGTTTACTGATCGATCCGGCATGCTATCTACACCACCAGCAAGCAATAAGAAACTATGCCCCGGTTGCTTATGTTCCTATTTGGTGCTCACACTGAGTTCTAACGCTCATTACTGGACAAAGATTTCGCTGATAATAATAATAGTCTTACAGTTCCTTCGCTGCTCTCATGTTTTCTTGAACAGTGGTGGCCGGCAATTCTCCCGTATGTTCGAGGACGGATGCCCACAATAAATCTGTGAGATGGTCTCTATACCGTGCAACACACCAACAGGCAGCCCATCACTCCAAAAAGATTCCGCTCCGAGATTGAAGGTTGCCGTCTATACAGGACTGTGGCTTTGCCAGAAGCCTACATGATGTCCCTTCCAGCATCCAAAAGAGCTACCCACAGAATGACCGAGGTAAGCAACCACGAATTGTGCGCTACCATCATGAATCCCATAAAAAATTTTCTTCTTGTTCTTCCTGACGCTACGGTATTCACCCTCAGTGGCTTTCCTCATCCGCAATAATAGAATCGAACTCCGCAATCCGCACCCGCTCAACTTCAAACAAATATTCCAGCACTTTCTCAGCCACCATCTCCTTGGTGGCCGGCCCCATAAAACCACTGTCCACTCGTCCCACATGCTCCGGTACCTGCCCGGCCTCGATCGGAAAGTTGGCCTGTCCGCGAAACATGTTCTGAGCATCAGGAATCGGTTCTACTATGATGTGTGGAACCTGCATCCCCAGTCTCTTGGCCATCTCCGCTAGTCGTTGGTGTACCGAGATACTATCGTCATGGACGTCAATATCAAGAATATTGTCGGTGCCTTTCCTACGACGAGGAGCAGGAGGTGGTTTGGCAAGATAAGGTGCCAATGAGTTCGCGGAATTACTCACGGCATCTGGGTCTAGAGAGGCACCGTCGCTACCGTCGTTTGAATCCGACTCCCCGTTCGCGGGAGACGATGGCGTGGAGGGAATGGAGACAGGCGCAGACACGGCGCCATTACCATTAACGATTCCGTTGGTGTTGACTGATGCCGTAGGTGTCGTCTGGGGAGTAATGACCAAAGGGACCACAACCGGAACTCCAGGCGGTTGCTTGGACTGTCCATTTTGGGGATTGCCAGGTTTGGACTTCGCCTTAAAAGTCACGTTTTGGCAGTCCGAGGGCATGTACCTTTGATACATGAGCCACTCGATAGCGCACTTGGCTGCGTACCGTTTTGCGTCCTTTTTCTTGGTAAAGTGCGGTACATAAGGTGCTCCGGTAGCGTCGTCCACTAATATGCCATTCTCTTTGCTGGGGAAGAGGATCGGCTCCCAGTCCCTGGTTACCGAAAGTGAGACAAAGCACATGAAGCCAACCTTGCCGACTTGATTCTGGTGGTTATCATTGAATTCGACGGTGCACCCTTCAGCTGCATGGGCATCCCGGTATCCTGTATGGTGGGTAAATAAGTAGGAGCTTGCATAGAAACACAGGTATAGACTCACTCATAAGTAGGGAGACCCAATCGGCGTGGTCGAGGTGAAAACTCTGCTTCGTCTTGACGATGGATTTCTTCAGGTCCAGAATGGCTTTCTTCTGGATGTCAGTGAGTGGCTCTGGCTGGGGTAGGGCTTCCTGTTCGGCGATCCAGGCCTTGAGGTCCAGGTATGAGACAGGCTCGTCGAAGATGGCCGCTCCGACGGGGGCAGCATTGAGGTTGCAATTGGCCATGGCTGTGGACACGGTTGTGGTTGTTGTCCCGTCAGATCTGCTTCGCTTTGGTGACTCTTGCCGGAGGGGAGAAGAATATGTTGAGAAATACTTTCGTTTATGAGACTGAAAGCAGGCGTCGGGCATGGTGCTTTATATCTGAATGGTAAGCCTGAGAACGGGCAAGACGAAGAGCTTTGGCTGAAGGGTAACCTTGGAGGCTTATAGGCCACCTCCGGTTCCACAGGCACAGCGAGAGTGGGGTAGATGGGCTCTACTGGAGCCAGCCAGGCAGACCTACAGACCACTGCAAATAAAACGTTGCTCACTGAGGTGTGGGTTGACGACTGGGCAGAGTCGACCGGGGAGAGCAGCTTTGGACGTGAGAATGTCGCCAGTCGTTTGTCGGAGGGCTGGTGACGGAATCTTTGGGCAATATGCGACGAGCCGTTTCCCGAGGACGTCTTGGAGCCGGACCGAGTGCAGGATACGCGCAGAGACGATATTGGAGATGCAGGTGGTACTGGTAACAGGGCAACGAGACTTGAGCCTTGCAAGTGTTGTTACGAGCGGTGGTGCGGCGGAGTACTGTGAAGCCATAGAACCGTGTCTATATTGAAGAGTTGAGACGAAAGGAAAAGTGAAGAGAGTTGTAAGAGAGACGGGATGTTCAGTTGACGGAAGGACTTGTCGCTCTTGCAAACTCTGCCGGCAAACTGGAGGAAGGTAGGCTTGGAGAACAGCTTCCCTAGGTAGAGAAGGTAGGCACCGCTGCCTGCTTTTCTGTTGGATACCCGGATCTTACCCACTTGGACAAACTGAAAGGAATGGGGTGATAAAATATGACATGCGTTGGGCACGAGAAAGTGACGGAACATGTTGAACTTTAAGGTACCATAAGTAGTCTCAGGGTAGAGCAGAAAGAGGTCGTTTGGATAGTCGTGGGCCTCTCACACTCAGGCCTCTGACAATGGAGTGAGCGACCAATGATCCAGGCAATATTAACCACAACTATAAAGAAACGCCTGAGAGAACCGCAGCAGAGAAGTTGAAGACAAGCCCAATCAGAACAAAGCCTCCTTTCAGGTCAAAGATGTGGAAAGGAATCGAGGAACTGGAAGTTGACTGGTGCAACGTTCAATTTGTGTCTTTGAGAGAGAAAATCCAGGCGGCCGTTTGACGGGCACTCAACGCGTCGAAGTCGAACCCGACTGTGCCTTTGTGCCCCACTGTCTCTTATGTAAGCCGTTGTCTTTAGGACGGGGCATGGTTACCTTGTGCCAAGCATGGTCTGTGCGGCGCTGTAGTCGTCATTCCTGGGGTGATAGCCATAAGCTGGGTGCCCAGGTGCCCGCCGCTCGCCGTGCCCGCCCCGAGCTGCGCCAGAGCCGCCGCCCTGGATGATACAAGTGCATGAACTGAAGTGAACTGAACTGAACTGAACCTGGGCCATGGAAGCAACAACTGGAACTTCTTGAGAAAGAACAACCTCCCGTCTCACCACTTTCTCTCCATAGAGGTACCTATCATCTTGATTGCCCTCAGTAACTGGGTTGCGGCCGTCTCTCTCCATCATCAACCCCCCCGCATCTGTCCGCGTTATCCAAGCAAACCAAGCAGAAGCTCCCGTCTTGTGATCATTATACGCCCACTCACACTTACTACATATGCGCCGTCCCCATTTCTTGGACTCCGTTTAACTTTACGTCCACCTTCAGCCTTTACCTTAATTCGCGACTCCCGTCTGTGGCGCTCGACTTATCCGTCTGCCAAATCCGCCCTCGACCTCTGGTTTCGAAAACCTTGACCGTTGTGCTGGTCCTGGTCCCGCGAACCCGCGTCTCTTGTCTACACTACCTTCGTCTCTCGCCCCGGTCTGATTGCTTGCCACATCCCGTCTCAGGTTCTAGACTCTGCGCCGTCCTGTCAACTCTCTGATTCTTCTGCCACCGTCCACTCAAGGCCAGAAGGAAACGTTGCGTCATGTGGAACGACGAGGACAACAACCCTTATGGGAGCTTTGAGCGTCGTGACTCTTTCGCTTCCTCAACCAATCCCGCTTCTCCGACCGCTCGCGACTGTGAGTTCTACCATCTTGACAGCTCATTCTGAACCTGATCTCCGCTGGCCATGGACGACGAGTTGGATGAAATATCCCTGGGCGAACTTGCCGATGACGATGACGCTGATACCGACTGGTCCTTGATAGATTCTGTAGACGCTCGCTTCCCAACACCCCAAGATGCTCGCTACGATGCTCCTCTGACGCCCTCGGATGCTGATGACGACGACGAGGTACCGGGTCCCAGTTACCCTAGGGAAGCAAGCGACGTTGCGACCGATGACGAGACGGATGACCAAGCCCACGGCGAGCTTGTACCACGGCGTAAGCCAGGTGGCTATGACAGCAGGATTGAGCAGATGCTCTACGAAAATCCAGAGCTACCCATTTTGATTACTGAGGCAGGCAAAAGCCAGGAGAGCGGCGGAAGATTTATTGTGTATACCATCAAGACTGGAGTAAGGTTCGGCTTCCCTCAACTAGCTGGCATTGTGTTCGCTGACCAGTCTCTCTGTCTAGGACTTGACCGTTCGCCGGCGATACTCCGAGTTTGCGTCGCTAAGAGACGCCCTTACGAGACTGCACCCTACTCTGGTCATTCCCCCCATACCAGAGAAACATACTATGGCCGATTATGCTGCCAACCCAACAAATGCCAAACAAGACCAGCAGATAATTGACCTAAGAAAGCGCATGCTCGCTGTTTTCCTAAACCGGTGTAGACGCATGGAGCAGGTTCGCACCGATGGTGTATGGTGGCGGTTCCTGGACCCAAACTCGAGCTGGGTAAGTCGCAAGGCCTTTTGATACGCAGCAAATCAGCCAGCTAACGCAGCTATAAGACGGAGGTTCTACATTCGCATCCTGTGTCGTCTATCCCGAAGCAGATCTTGAAGGCACCCCCCTTGGATCCCGCGAACCCGACCCCTGGACACAATTTCCTTCCCGTGCCAAGTACCTCGGCCAAGCTGAAGACGTTGCCGGCACAATCTCTCGACAGTGCCGCGCCTGGGTCTCTTACTCGGTTTCCGCCTGACGCCAATGTCCTCACCGAGCAAGACTTGGACGCCTATTTCATTGCCTTTGAGACCTCCATCAAGGACCTCGAATCGTTACTCACTGGACCGATAGAGAAGGTGAACCGCCGCACGCTGAACCATCTGTCTTCGCTGGCCTCTGACCTTTCAGAACTCGGCGCTCGATACAATGCCTTTGCTTTGTCAGAGACCGCACCTACCGTTTCGGCGGCCATCGAGAGGGTCGGACAGGCGGCGGACTCGTCATACATTGCCACGGAAGAACTTTCCACTTCGCTGAGCGCCAGTTTTGCCGAACCGATGCGTGAAAATGCGCAGTTTGCTGGGGTTGTACGGAACGTACTGCGCTATAGGGTTCTGAAGAGAGTCCAGCAAGAGATGACGACGGACGAACTCAACAAAAAGAAAGCCCTTTTGGAATCGCTGGAGAGAAGTGAGGCCGAGGCTAGGAGGATCGACCAATATCTCAGCAGTAGCCAGCAGATTCAGTCCCCTAGGAGGGAACCGCCTGTGCAACACCGTAGGGACGGGAGTGGCGAGGACACTGCATCCATCGATTCGGATTTTCCTCCTACGCACGGCGATTTCTCCCAGGCACCATCCGCTAAAATCGGGGCGCCAGAGCGCACAGGAGGTAGCCCGAGTCATAAGAAGGTGGCGAGCACTTCTATCACGAACAAGATCTTCGGACCAATTCGGCATGCGGTTCAAGGAGTGGTGGACGTTGACCCTGAAAGGACCCGACGTGACACTATTGGAAAGACCAGGGAATCAATCGTACAGCTGGAGCAAGCACAGATTGCATCGGCCAAGGATGTGAAGGACGCGAGCGCGAGTGTTCTTAAGGATCTCAAGAGGTTCCAACGCGAGAAGGAGGACGACCTCAAGCGGTATATGGTAAGTCAACCTCGATCTGCAGTATACCCATCATGATTAAATACTAACTATTGTTGTAGCTGGCGTATGCCAAGAGCCAGATTGAGTGGGCAAAGAAGAACCAGGAGACTTGGGAAGAAGCAAAGGCGGAGGTCAACAAGATTAGCGAGTCCTAGTCGGACAAAGCGGTTCGTTCTCCCAGTCGATGGGTTCATATTAAGAGACGTCATGACGAATGATTTATCATGTGGAAAGTGTACCGACAACTTTCCAGGCGTTCAGGAGATGTCAAAAGGGTTGTTTGTTGTATTGATGACGATGTCGTTAGCAGACGACGGGGCGGGAATCTTACTTTTAGACGAGAATAAGCATAATGACAGTCATTGCATTGATAGGAAACAGGCCCGTTTTATGATCTTTATACCTTTGTTTCTCTGTCGCAGTGATGTTGAGTAAAAGCTGGACGGGTCGCAGTTGGTTACCTAAACAACAACAACAACAACAACAACAACAACAATAACAACCTCCAAGGGACGTCGAACGGGCAGGCTCCACACTTCCTTCAGGGGATCTCGAGGTGTCAGTGCACCCGTACCTTGCATAGGCCAAAATGGTTACGATTGGGACAACAAATGCAAGATCTGCATTGTATTCGAGGTTGCTCAACCTATATTGTGACCTTGAGTGTAAAATCTGCTCTTGCTATATATCCAAATAGAAATGGTGAACGACGACGGTAGTTTCGCGTTCATTTGCCTTACTTCCAGGATGCACTAACTGGAGGAACCTGGAAGGCTGTCTGGGGAGGTTCAGGTTGTCCCTGTTGGCATTTCACTTACAGCGCGTCGTCCAGGGGATGCGAATGCGATAAGATAAGCGCCACGCTCAAGAGTTCATGACGACCCGTTCTCGTCGACGGGACTTGCTAATTCGTGGCCTCCAACACCAGATCAACAACTTTTACCGTCCATTGTTCACCACTCGGCACTATTTCGATTCTTCTTTCCGCGACGACACCCCTCTAACCAACGAATATTGATTCGAACATACGACATATCACGGCCATCTATAATAAACAACGCCGGTCTCGACAGGTGTCGCAAACCATCACCACCGCCCACGTCTAGTCGTCCACCATTCGCTCTCGCTGCCGCCCTCACAATGGAACAACCAGGGCCCATTGCCGAAATCGCGAAACCTGGCATCAAAGCGCCACGCGAGCTGGCCATTTCGCTGCGAGAAGAAGTTGCCCGGATTCTTGGGAGGAGTTCGATTGGTTTCCCCGGAGCGCAACCTGTTAGCTTTGCTCGCAAGCACCTAGAAGAACTGCGAAGAGAGGAGTAAGCATGTGCCCATCTGAGATTCTTTGTTGTGCAGCTGCGCATGTCAAGACTTCTGGCTAACCACCCGTACGTAAAAAAGCTATTATGTCTGCGAAAAGTCCGACGGCATTCGCTACCTCCTCTACCTAACGGTCGACGAAGAAAACCAAGAAGTCCAGTACCTGACGACCGCAAAAACGACTACTGGTTTCTCCCGCGCAACAGCATGCACTTTCCCATGCCCAACGACGTCCAAGCCTTCCACCGGGGCACCCTCATCGACGGCGAGCTAGTGATGGACACGGTCCCTGGAACGAACGGGCGAAAAGAGCCTCGCTTTCTGGTGTTTGACCTGCTCGCGCTCGACGACAAGGCCGAGCTCCTCAACAAGCCCCTTGACAAGCGCCTCGGCTACTTCCGCGCCTACGTTTACGAACCCTACAAGAAGCTCCTCCAACAGTTCCCGCAGGAAATCCCCTTTATGGCCTTCAAGGTGGAGATGAAGCGCATGGAGCTCTCATACGGCATCGAGACCATGTTCCGCGAGGTAATACCGGCCCTCAAACACGACAGCGACGGCCTCATCTTCACGTGCCGCACCACTCCTTACCACTTCGGCACCGACCCGCACATTCTCAAGTGGAAAGCGCCCCACGAGAACACGCTCGATTTCCGCCTGCGCCTCAATTTCCCCCTCGTAGAAGCCACCGAAGACGAGCTGGACCAGGGGTTTCCGGAGCAATTCACAGACTACGACTCGGTCCCGCAGGCGGAACTGCACGTTTTCTGCGGCAACGACGGGCCCAACAAATACGAATGTTTCCCGGACCCGCTCTACCTCGCCGAGGACGAGTGGGAAACGTTGAAATCGCTGGGCGACCCGTTGCAGGACCGCGTGGTGGAGTGCTGTCTGGATGCCGAGGGACGGTGGCGGCTGTTCAGGTTCCGCGATGACAAGAATGAGGCGAACCATACGAGTACGGTCACCAGCGTCATGGCGAGTATAAAAGATGGCGTGTCGGATGCGGAGCTCCTGACTGCGGCGACGGCGATCAAGGAGAGCTGGAAGATTAGGGCGCAGAAGAGGAAGACGGAACAGGGGCCCGCGAAGCATTAGCAGTGTTAGTGGACGAGCGCGACTTGGGGAGATACTTCACGGGCTGTATGGAGGGCTGGCTCGGTCTTCAATTCCTGTTGTCTTCATCTTCATCATTATCCTTTGTGTGTGGGTGTTTGATGGTCTGATATTTTTGAAGAGGTGGGTTTCATATGTGGCACCAACTATTATACCTGGGCGGCGTTTGGGGGACGGGATAGGATTGTTTCTTGGGCTGTAGACCTAGCTCTTAATGCATACTTCCTTTTTTTTCTCTTGGCTTCGTAACGGTTACCTATACGGAATAGACGGCTCTGTGGTTAACCGTTCGTGCTGAGAGCTGAGAGCTGAAAGGTCGCCGCGCTGTGTGAAGATTGTGTGTGAATATGCCTTGTTGATCTAAACGATGCGTGTCATCTGGTCGAGTTGGTCTAGCTCGGCATCAGGTATGATTCTTTTCTAGTTGGTTGTTGTGGTGATTCGCCTGAACCTGAAGAATAACAACAGTGTAGCTCGGCTTATAACTATGTAGAGACGAATGATTTCCCACAACCATTGCAATGTTTGAGCCCTCGAAAGAGAGACAATACATGTACGCACCCATCGAAAAAGATTAAGTATACAAAGACTTCCAAACTAATGTTTACGCAATATGTACTTACATAGCTTAGCAACTTTGGAAACGAACATATAAACTCAACACAACATATATAGACAGCCTTTCTCATAAACGAGTTATCACACGCCATCAATAACTACCCAAAACTACCACAAGTACCTAACCCCCGCTACATATACCTCCCATTTACCACCTACTTCCCAATCGTCAAAAACAACCGATCCCCCACATCTCCCAACCCAGGTCTGAGCATGCCCTTCTCCGTCAGCTCCTGATCCACGCCCGCCAGCCAGATCTCCGTGCCCTCAGGCCACTCCTCGGCAACCTTCTTGACACCTTCCGCAGCACCAAGGACGGAAAGAACGATGACCCGCTTGGCGCCCCATTCGATCAAGGTCTGGATGGCGGCGGCGCAGGTGCCGCCCGTGGCGATGATGGGGTCGAGGATGATGGCTAGGTCGGAGGGGGTTTCGTTTGATGCCCTGGTTTACATACAATTTGTTAGTCTTTTGGGGGGTTTGGGGGGTGGGGGATAAGGTTGGATGGTTAAAAAAAAAAACTTAAAAAAAAACTTAAAAAAAAACTTAACGAGGCCAAATGGTTGGGGAGGTTGTTGTAGTATTCTACTGGAGCCAAGGTGATGGGGTCGCGGAAGAGACCGAGGTGGTGGACGGGGACGGGCTGGGGGAGGATTGTTTGGATTGCTGTTTTTGTTTTGAGAAGGAGTCGTTAGTTAACTCGTCATGAATCTGGGAACAATGGAGTACGAGAGCAGTACAAGAAGAGAAGATAGGAAGCAAAAGGTAGAATAAAATAAGTAAAAATAAATAAGAACGAAGGAATCATACCCTCAACCATGCCCAATCCACTCCTCAAAATGGGAATCAAGCTGATATCCCCCGGCGACGCCGTGGTGGTCTCATAAGTAAACCCGAGGGGTGTTTCTCCCTGGGGACCCGGGCTAGTGGTCATGGCCTTTGCGAGGGCTTCCGATCCAAGCAGCAGAGAGATCTCGTGGATCAGGTTCTTGACGTCTCGCGCGCTGGTGGACTTGGAGCGAAGCTGGGAGAGCTTGGCCACGAGGCAGGGGTGCGTGGAGATGTGGACGTTGGGTGGTAGAGAAGTCATGATGGGCGGTTTGGACAACAAAGAGCTGAGGTATAGGACTAAGAAGGGGGGAGGAAAGAGAGAAAGTATACGGTCTAACTTTCCACGAAACTGAGGAGAGGAAGTGGCCGGTCCTACATATTGTCTTGTCCCGGTCTTCTTCAAGCTCCTATCAGACAGAGACAGGCCCCGAGTAGGATTGGGCCGAAGCTGAGAGGGCGACTCCGGCGAGTGAGATGGCACGAAGCTCCCATGGCCGTCTTCCGAGTGGGATTGGAGCTTCCCTCGGGCAGGTTGCACTCAGTTCTCTAGCGTAGCTTTTCCATTGTTATCCGCGAATCTATCAGCAACTCACCTTCTGCTCAGCACTCCGAGTGGGCCGGTGTTTGTGTCTTTGTCTCGGGTAATCGTGAGGTTTGTAGACGACGGACTCGGGTTTGGGTCCGGTACTGATAACACAACTTAACTCATATTTGAATCCTTTAGTCACATTACCTGGAGTCCCTAGAGAGAACTGAACCTCGACTCTGGCAACAGCACTCGGTTTCAAGGGACTGCAGATGGTGAACATTGGAAGTCATCAAAGAGGGGGAAGGACAGCAAGGTACCTTACAGGGAAGGTCACTCTGTCAATGATTGGGACGGTCTCCGCATTCAGGACGATCAAGTGGGGTGCGGGGCCCTTTGACAAGGGATCGTCTTTCTCCATCTGCCGTAGCATCCCATATCTCTCCCCCACGGACTGTTGGACGGCCCTTATCGATATTGTGAATTGGGTGATAGTGATGATGACGGCGGCCCCAAGTAATACCGAGGGATACAGAGGAGGCCCCCCTGATTCACCTGACCGCAACCTCGTCGACGACCACAGTCACAACCACGGGCACAATGATGGACAACATGTAACCGGGACAGAGTTACATCCTCATCCTCACCACCAGGCACAACCACAACGCCGCTTCTCTCGTGCCTCTTCACGTCGTGCCTCAGTTGTATCTCCCGTCAACTACAATGTTCCAGACGACTATGCAAACCTCGAAGCATCCAATATATCGCCTGTCCAGAATCCAGACGAAGAGCCCATCACACGCCATGAGACTCTAGAACAAGTTAGGAGTCGTGATAGGGATTATATCCGGGAGCAAAAGCAACAAAGACGGGAATCACAACTTCGGCATGTTGACCACCAACAACAACCACAAGCGGCCGAGTCATCAGAAGACTACGACAGGGAAAAGGGTCAGCAACAAACTGGCATCGCCAAAAGCCACAAAGTCTCCCGCCTCGCCACAGAACTCTACACCGTCTCCTATCTCATCCTCTTCTCCCTCCTCGGCACCCTCGCCAGACTAGGCCTCCAAGCCCTCACCTCCAATTACCCTCAATCACCCATCATTTTCCCATCAATATGGCCCAACTTTGCCGGCTGCGTGGTCATGGGTTTTCTAGCCGAGGACCGCATGCTCTTCAGGTCAGACTGGGGCCAAGACCCAGCTCCCAGTAAGAAAAGCGATGACCAAGAAACCGGCAGTGTCCCGGTCGAACCCAAAATCGATCCAGCAACAACCAAAAAGGCCCACCTGGCTCTTAAAAAGACCATCCCGCTCTACATTGGTCTCGCCACCGGTTTCTGCGGCTCCTTCACTTCTTTTTCGTCTTTCATCCGAGACATCTTTTTAGCTTTATCCAACGACCTTTCTGCCTCCTCCTCGCCCGATACCCCTACCATGCACTCTCGAAACGGCGGCTACTCCTTCATGGCAATATTATCCGTCCTCATCACCACAATCTCCCTCTCCCTCTCCGGCTTATCTTTGGGGGCCCACCTCGCCATCGCCATCGCTCCCCTTTTCCTAAGGTTTAATCTGACCCTGCCCTACGGCTTCACGAGCAAAGTCCTCGACCGCCTCGCTGTCTTGCTTGGGTTCGGATGTTGGTTGGGATCCGTTTTCTTGAGCATCTGGCCGCCTGACAGATACTCCCTCTCCATCCTCAACGACTCTGTCAATGAGAAGTGGCGCGGCACAGCAACTTTCGCCCTCGTCTTCGCTCCCCTGGGGTGTCTCCTGCGCTTTTACACGTCAGCGCATCTCAACGGGCGACTACCTAATTTTCCCTTGGGCACGTTTGTGGTGAATATGTTGGGCACGGCGGTGCTGGGTATGGCGTGGGACTTGGAGCATGTGTCACTTCCTGGCGGAGGGGTGGTGGGGTGTCAGGTGCTGCAGGGGGTGGCGGATGGGTTTTGCGGATGTTTGACGACGGTGAGCACGTGGGCGGTCGAGTTGGCCGCGTTGAGGAGGAGGAATGCGTATGTTTATGGCGGGGCGAGGTGTGGGTGGGGGGTTGGCGTTGTTGGTGGTGATAATGGGGAGTTTGAGGTGGACGAAGGGGTTTGGGGAGGTCAAGTGTGTTCATTGATGACAAGGAGTTATGTGGTGGTACCAGGTAAATAATCGAGATGATAGGGGTTGGTCTACCTGGAAAGACGGGCGTTCGTCACTCATGGGGAAGTTGTTTACATTTGCAAAGAACGATGGGCGATGATGAACGGGAAGCAAGAATCTGGTAAATAATACCTTTAATGTTTAGAACACGACACCCCCTCTCTAACTCTAGCTAATTAATGTTATTGCGCTAACCTGTATTATACCAAATCCCGGAAAGAGCAATCGAATCGCCAAAGACCTCGGCCACAGATCTGTCTGTCTGGACAAGCAAAGCTAATAAACTAGCAACTCTCTAGAGCAAAGAAAATGTCTAACGAGCAACGAAACTGACCAAAACAAAGCATCTTATGATGCAAACAAATATGCTCCCTATCCAGCCAACCCCTTTCACACGAGGTAAAAAAGAGCAAAAAGAAAACCAACAAAAGCAAAAGCAAATCAATCTCAACTAAAGCAAACAAATCCGTGAACTGTACGTTCTCTTTCCATCTTTCCTTCATATCATCCCCCCTTTCAATAACTCATTCCCTCTTTTTGCGCCCTCTCTGACTCTCTCAAGTACAAACACACCAACGAGAAGCTCCGCCCTCAAGAGCGCTTCTTTCTCTTCTTGTTCTTCTGCGCATTCGAAGTTTCTCCTGCTCGCTTTCCTTCTTTCCCTCTCGTGCTTGGTCCGGCCCTAGCCCCAGGAGCAGAAGTAGGAACAGAAGCGGAAGCGGGAACAGACGCAGGAACAGAAGCGGCACCATATGCAGAAGCAGAAGCGGAAGCGGAAGTAGAAGCGGGCCTTCTTGGCTGCTGCTGCTGCTGCTGCTGCTGAGGTCCGGGTGACACAGACACAGACACAGATGCGGGCGCCGGACGAAGATTAGGAAAAAGGGTGGAGGAGTTGTGTTCCGTGGGGGTGCACCTGTTTGTGCTGTCGCCTGTTCTTTTTTGCCTTTTGCGGGCTCGCTGTGAACCTTCATCTTCATCTTCATTTTTTTCTCGAGGTCGAGGAGACTGGGATTGTTGTTGTGTCCTAGCCCTGGTTCTACCATCGTTGCTCTCCGCAACCGGAACAGCCGTCTCGTCATCCCTAACTTTTCTCTTCCTGCTGGCACTGTGCAGGATCTCATTCCCTCGGTCGAGACTATCCCCATCTCCATCCGAGCCTTCCCCCTCCAAGACCCGTTCCCGGCCCCCGTTGACTTCCGTCCCAGCCCTCGACGCAGAAGAATTTCTGGGCAGAGCGCTCGGCGGAATGTCTGCGGGCTGGACTGCTGCTGCTGCCGGTGCCGGTGCTGCTGCTGCCGCTGGGCGGGTGGGTTCGTGACAGTCAGGCACGGGCGAAGGCGCCGTGGATGCTATCAAGCGCTGGAGGTCGATGTTGGAGGCAACAGGGTCGAACATGTTGGTGATTTTTCGTTTGGCCGCGGGGTTGGCTGGTTGGGCGGGCATGCGCTGGAAGAGAGGATCGAGGAGAGCAAAAGTTCTCAGGGGAAGGGGGGTCTTGTGGTGGTGACAGTTTCTTTGGCCTTGGTCTGGGCCTGGGCCTTGCCTCTGCCATTCCTTGTAGGACGTGGAGTGGCCGGGATGGTGGTGCCAGTGGAGGAGGATGCTCTGGCGGACGTGCCGGTAGTGGTAGTGGTGGTGGTGCTGGGGATGGTAGGGGCGGGGGCAGAGGATGAGGAAGATGCGAAGCCGGAGGAAGAGGAAGAGGCAAAGCCAGAGGAGACTTGACCATAAAACATCCGCGGGACGAGCGGGTGCGGGTCTGCCCTGGAAGCGGTAGCGGGCTTGGGCTTGGGCACAGGTTCGTCAACTGCCTTCCCCTTGCCTTTTTCTTCTCTGGTAGGTCTGCGTCGGCTTCCCTCCTCAGTCAAGACTTGAGGCGCAGCCGCAGCCACAGTCCCGGTCCCAATTATCTGCTCCCGCCGGTTCTCCTTATTCCTCCCAGCGGCGCCAACGGCCCTACTACCGCCGTGCGCCCTCTGTGGAGAACTAGAGGCGCGAACCTCTGCCTGGACTGTCCGCTGAAGTCGAGAAATACTCAGAGGGCCGGGAATATGGTCTTGCTCCTCTGCGTTGCCCTCATTGCCACTGCTTCTGCCATTGGTGGTGCCATTGCTGTTGCCACGGCCACTGACACGGCTACTGCTTCCCCCTCTCCCCCAGAATAGGTGAAGATGGTCGTCCCAGATTCTCCCTCTCCCGCTCCATGGAAGAAAAGAATATCCTCCTAAGCCCAAGATCTCCAGACCCTGAGGGATGATCGTCGCCATCGTCGTCGTCATCACCGCCATTACCGCCGTTGTCATAGTCATCCTCGTCGTCGCCCTCATCCTGCTTCTCCTCCTCAGCCTCATCCTCATCAACGACTTGTTGACCAGCCAGAGAACTGTTAGGAGGGTCAGGAGAGATCTTGACCGTGATAGAATCCGCTATCTTCTCCTCATCTTTCTGGAGGATTTTGAGGGCTTGTTGGGCTTGGGCTTGGAACCGTGATGACCCGGCATGAGCCTGAGGTCTAGCCTGCTGTTGTTGCCGCGTAGCTGCTGTTGTCAAGGCAACCGCCGGTGCCTTCTTCTTTTGTTGTTGTTGCTTGCGAGGTGATCGCTTGGGCTGTGGCTGGGCCTGAGCCTGGGGCTGGGGCTGCAAACGTTGTTCCGGAGGAGATTCCGTTTGGTGCCTCCTCCGGCTCTTAGGCGGGCTGCTCCTTGGGACAAACCTGCTGTTGGTATGTGTTGTTGTTGTTGTTGTTGTTGCTGTGGTTGTTGCCGGCCGGTCGGCAGTCGCAGTAGGGGCATGGGATCTGTCCCTTGTGGCCGTAGCCCCCCTGGCATTTTCGGCGGTTTGGTTTCGAGTGGAACGGGAGGTATTGCCGTTGTTGTTGGGGTTGAGGTTGGAGTTGTTGTTGGAGCTGTTGTGCTCAGAGGAACGGCGCTCTTCCGCCGCCGCCGAAGATTCGCCCTGTGAAGCACCTTTGTGCATATTCGACACCCCCGATTCATCTGCTCCGGTCGTGCTCACGCCATCGTTATTCTCATCTCCAGAATCTCCTTGGTGACCGGTACATCCACCAGGTGCTCTAGTGTGCTCCCTTAAATAATCCCCTCGAGAAAACCTCATGCCGCATTTTGAGCATGAATACGGCTTTTCGCCCGTGTGGAGCTTGCTGTGTCGCCTGAGGTTTGCTGCACTTACGAACGTCTTTTGGCACGTAGGGCAAACATAGGGGGGAGTGGATGGTTGTTGGTTGTTGCTCCTGCTCTCTGTGGCGGCAGCATCGTGGTTTTGATCCAGCTCGTTGTCAGGCTGATCATCGGTATGGAGATTTGTGTCCTCCTCGTCATTGTGCTGAGACGCATCTTGGGTATCGGAGCGCTCTTGTGGCTGCTCCTCGGTTTGCTCGCTATCTTGGGCGGCATTGGACTCTAGGGCCGGCTGCTCTTGGAGCTGACCTTGTTGGGTGTTTCATCTGACTGATTGTTGTCAGGAATATTCTTGGTGTTGGGTTGCTTAGCAGAGGTGGCAATCCGCGCTTTCTTCGTTGCTGTTGTGGAAGATTCAGGGGCAGCAGTCGCCTTTCTTTTGCTGCTCGTCACAGCCCCAGGGGGGCCATAATTGTCAAGTTGCACATGGTCGTCGGAGCCAGGAGCGGCACGGGTTCGTGGCCTCTTGCTGGGTTGGTCAGGAGCAGCATCTGTGTCCTCCCGCTTCCGTTTGGTTCTAGATGCATTTGATGTGGCTGACTTCTTCCTAGAACTACTAGGTCTGGATCCCGAATTTCCATCTGCCGTCTCCCCCTCACGCTGCCTCAGCTCTGCTTGCTCATCGCGCACCTCTGAGCCGAGCGTGTCGATGTCAACATGAACAGCGTTGTGTCCGGGGTCGAGGCATAGGGGGAGGTTTAGCTCGTCGACTTTGACTTTTGGAGCGTCTCGTCGGCTCTTGTGGCTGATAGACACATGAAGAGTCCTCTCCGGTGATGCAGTGCCGCTTGGTGAGGTCAAGGATGCCTCGATGATAAGCCTTCCTGCCCTCTGGGAACCAAGGTAGTGTAGGTCATAGAAATCCCCCATAGGGATTTTGACATTGGTGTTGGGGTCCGACTCGCTGATGTCTTCAGGCACGTTGTCCTGCTTGTTCTTGTCTGCCGCATCTTCCTCGAAATAGGTGGGGTTGCAGACGAGCCTCATCTGCGTGCCCTTGAATGCGTTGTATACGCTCGCAACGTACTTCTTATCATTCCCGACCAGGAGATAGGCAAAATGCTCCCAAGCATAATCGCGTCCGCGACCAACCTTTCGCTGGAGAGCAATCACGGCGCCATTCGCGAAGAACTGGGCCACTGTCATCTTCTTCGCGTGGGCCAATGCTGCGCCGTGGCAGTTGCACGATGAAAGCCAGATGACATCGATGTCGGCTGTATACTTGATCCGTTCTTCCGGGATAGCGCTATCGGCGAAGACTGCTCTCCTTGCTGTGGTGCTCATGAGAGTTCCTCCGGCTACCACGACGCCGATCTCATAGTCTCGACTAAAGCCTTTCAACTTCTTGAGCTGCCTCTTGGCCATTGCGAATGGTTTCTTAAGCGCCGCGTCGAAGCAGCGCTTGACTTCCCTGCGTGGTAGATTAACGGTGGTCGCGATAGCACCTTGTTCATCCTCGGAAGCAAGGCCGATCACACCATCTTCCATGTTCGGAATGAGATGTTGACCCTTCTTGGTATTGAAATTTTGAAGAAGCTGGAAGGTTATCTCTCCATGAGGGTCTGATACTCCGTTGTCCTCGAGCTTTTCGCTAATCAACTGACGGACTTGGTGAGACCACATCTCGCTTCCACCGGCACAGCCGCCAGAACCCAACTCAAAGAAGGTCATGTTGGAGTTACCAGAGCCTCCAGTGTTTTTGGTTCTCTTCAGCTCCATCAGGCTGTAAGACATGGAATGGCCTCCAAAGTCGAGGAAGAGGACAACCTCCCAGTCTTCAAGCTCATTTTCTTCGTTGAGGATGACATATCGCGCCAGCGCGTCAGCCTCGCCGCAGTAGTGGACCTCCTTCTTCATCTTCTCGCCGTCCTCGTTCTCATAACTGAAAACGTCCTCGATGATGGACGTGTAAACATTCTCGAAAGTTGCGTTCCACTGGCTGGGAATCGTCAGGACAATCTCGTCAAAACACAGGCGCTTTCTCCCAGTGAAGTCGTCCACGTGGTCTTTCAGACCTGAAAACAGCTTGGCCAAGATGGTTCGGCAGTCACTGAGGAGCAAATCGTCGTCTTTCATGGCCAGAATGTCTGCCGGGAGAGGGTAATCGGCCATGACCGAGTCATCGACCTTGGCGAGGATGTACATCAGATATTTGGCAGAAATTTGGCCAGGATCGGTGACAGCATCCGCTCCTATCTTGTCAAAGGGGTTTTCGCGGAGGGGACAGCATGACACCGGAAAGTCGCCCCTGCAGGTAACGGGTGCGCCAAACTGTCGAACGGCGTCTACATCTCTGTTTTGAATCGGATGGTAAGTGTAGGGCGCTTCGCACTCAACGAAGGCGGCGCGGAGCGCGGTGCTGCCAAGATCGATGGCGAGAATACTACGAGGTGATGAGTTAGTGATATGCTAAGTAGGTTTGGATTTCCCATGACGAAGAGGAGGGACCGAAGAAACAGGAGCGCCCAACTGCCAGTAGACTAAGAAGTGGGTGATTGTGGTGCTGATGCTACGGAAGAATCTCATCTCCATCTTGTTGAGGGCCGGATGTTTGCCACCGGTGCGAAAGGGAACGCGTAGTTTGCTACTAGGACTTACCATTTCTTGAGCTTAGTCTTGTCCATGGCGGACGGTTTCTTAGACGCAGTCTTAGCCATTGTGGAAAGTTTTTTAGACGCAGTCTTATCCATGATGACGGTGAGGGAAAGGTGGGAGAATGTGGTGTATTGGCGGGTTACGCGAAATTTGTAGTAGCAAGTAGTTGCTTTGAGTTCGTTGATCTTGAATAAGACTAGATGTCGAAGACGACGGAAGCTCAGAATGAATCGGTCGAAATCTAGTAAGGTAGAAAGCGATTGTTACAAAGGGAATACAAGTGTTGGTCGAGGAAGTCTTTTAAAAAGGTCGAGGGAGAGATAGGGGGGCCAGAACGTATTGTCGAATTCGAGAATAGAAACACCAAACGTGGGCGGGGTGGTTTCAGTGAAGGGGTTGCTATTATGCGGCAGAGGGACAGTTGAATGAATAAGGTTTACAATAGGTCTCCTAGTCGTACCTTGGCAGTGAAAATGGTCTGTGGGGACGGGCGGGAGGGAGAGGAAGATGGGGGGCTGCTTGGAAGGTACCCGGGCTCGCGTGGGGCGGCAAGTAGAGGTGAAAGTACCGGCCTGATTCTGGTGCATGATGTTGAAAGTATGGTGAGAGCAGATTCACGGGGCTTGTTTACATGGAGACCGAGTATACTGTCGCCTAGTCCTCGGCCTGGTTCCTGCTGGCCAGGAGACCATGGGCACCAGCAGGATCGTGATCTTGACGAGTCACAGACATGGTCTAGATATTGCCTGGGAGGCAAAACAGGACAACGTGAACGTGATCTTTCAATACTGGACTATTGCCATACGTGAAACATACATCCAGCCACGTTAGTTTCCGGCCACAGCATCACGGTGAGATCTGCCTTCAGGCTCAGAGCAGCTTTCATTAAAGCTGCTGGCACCAGTATCAACCACATAGTCAAGCTCTTTGTCATTAAGGCTATTTTGGTTTTCATTTCTTTTTTACTCTCAACGCCCTGGGGGGTATTGATGGAAGAAGTGTTCAATGTGAGGAATTCTTTTGGGGCGATATGCCCCAAGCGATCCTACGCCCAACACTTTGTTCAAATTTTCACCAGGCAAAACCACACAAACAAGCCCAAACCGAGCTTCATTGTTTCTTTCAGACATGCCATTTTCCATGATGCTGGTTACTCTTGAAAATTTCAAGTAAAGCATTACGAAATTTTCGAGTGTCCGTCCGATGTTTGAAGCGCGTTCGATGGCCCAGCTTTTTGAGTCCCGCCACCCTGCTTTAGAGATGTCCTCTCCCAGGATGAATCAAGGGTAACTAAACAGAAATCACAAAGGGTCACGCTCTCCATGGGAACCAAGACAAATTTATTGTGGGAAATGGGCTGCGTGTGGGATCTTTTGGGCTCCTGCCCAAGCACAATACCATCAAAAGTTCGGATGAAGGCCCTGGGACGCTGCCAGCTCTGGTAGCTTCCGGTCCATTCTCCACCATAAAAAGTAAATACACGTGGCCTAAAACTGAATTGAATGGATACTCGTGGAGAGCACGCTATATCTACTCGCCAGGTCTAAAATCGCGTCCATTCCCATGGGCGGAAAGTGTCAGAGGTCCTTCAACCCCTGACGCGTAGGCCAAGGTTCTCAAGTCCACGAACCTACTGTAAAGACCTTTTACCCGACTAGTATGGCAACAAAATTAGAACCACGTCTAGCATAGTAAGACACTTCAAGGCGAGTATCCAGCCGACTCATGGCAAAATGTCTCTTGGGAACTTTTGAAGGCAGGTTATCATCAAGAAGAAGGAAAAGTGGGTCGGCCAAAGGATGTAGGATACCTAAGTTACCTAGACGACCGCGTACAAAAGTCCAGCAAGGTGAAGTCGAGACGCGTTTTTGTGCAAAGCCCAATCAATGTTGGCAATATTTTTTGCCCCGTAACAACCTTCAAAGAACAGTCAGTCACCTTTAACGTACGTGGTGACTTGCGAAAGAAAACAAGTGAACCACTAGAACCTACCTACGCCATATCAACAACTCCAACTGGCAGTCAGTCACTTGGTCAGTCAGTCACCAGACTCCATCTCCTGTGTTGTGCCATTGAACTCGAGCGTACAAGGGCATAAATATGTGAAAAACCAATGCCATTTATTTTCCAATCACCGCAATATCACCTTGAACGCGTCTAATGAAAACAGTATGGGCCGTACGGGGAATGTAGACAACCAGACAATCTTGTAGAGGAAAGACACAGCGGACACATACCGTCGGTCAAGGTGGATTAGACGGCTGATACCCAAGATCAGGAGGTGAAGGGGAGAAGGGAGTAGAAACCTAGCAGTCAAAACGAACCCTTACAGCCTTGAATGGGCCGTTACATTGAACGCGGCGACTTGTAAGGGGGGAGCCGAGAAAGGTTTCTTTTCCACGGGCAAAACATCCATGCCTTCAGGTTGTCAAGAAAAACAACAGGAAGTCACCAGGCGCCAGCTCGAACTAAGGCACTCAACAACCTGAAAGCAGAACCACCCGTTGCCCTCCCAACACCAATATTGTACACAAACAAAAGAACCTAACACGAAGATACAACCCTAGGTCACAGAAAACCTACCTAGCCACATACGCCTCCTCATCAACCACCGTGCCCTCCTTCCACGACTCCTCCACCCATTCCCCCTTCACAATCCTCGGCACCGGACTCCCCATCTCTCCCAAGCTAATCTTATACCTAATCTCCGCCACCATCTCTCTCTCCTTTTTTCTTACTCCCTTCCGAGCCTTCAGAAGCAGTAAAAACAACCACATGCGTCGCCTGTTCCAGCTCGTCAACTACCGTCCCGTTACCAAACCGTACATAGTTCTCTAATTTCAAGGCTTTGCTTTCACAGAGTGTAGATGCTTCGCCGTTGTCGTCAGCATCAGCTAAAGCAAAAAAACCCGGCACCGCCGAAACATGAACGAGCGCAACTCATCCAGCGAAGCCGCGCCCTGCGCTTCTAGGTGGCCAAGGAAGTGATTCATATCGAACCCTCCTCCTCTGTTCTTCTTAGAACCGGAATCCGAATCCCAGTCCGAGTCAGAAACATACTCATCAGACTGGTCCATCCCCTCCATAACCGCCTTCAACTCGTCTATGTCAGCCAAGTCACGAGCGTAGCTATCTCCAAATCTATCCACTGCTTCTTCTGCTTCTTGCTCTGTTTGTTCGCTACCAGCGTGGAAGATGTGGATAGGTTCAAAGGGGAGGAGGTAACCCTTTTCCTTTCGTGACATTGGCTGCGCAAGACAGTCAAACACCCATTTCGGCCTGATGATGTCCATCTCCGGGTGGGCCTTTTTGAGGGAAGCCACTTTGACCACGTTCTTATCTGCTATGGGGATGATTATCTTTTCCTGGTCACCAGAGCGGTCTACCACCTGCTGGTAGATGCGGCCGCCGTGGTCTTTTATGAGTTTCTCCAAAGCTGGCTTGGCCATCTTGTTTGGTTTGAGAGACTCTGAAAGGACGCAAAAGTCCAAGCCTATGAATAAGTGGGTGCTGGCTTCGCGCGTTGCTCGCGGGGCAACGAAGGGTGTAGCAGAAGATGACAAGGAGGGATTAGACATGCCCGCAATAACCAGATCTTTCCTGGCGCGCTTGGTTGCCGGTTTCCGCTTGCGACTCTCCATCTCCATCTTTTTGCGTTCCTGTTCCTGGTCCTTGATCTTGGATCGTAGGACTTCAAACTCGTCCATGTCCAGCGCCGAGTCCCACGTGCGATCCAGCCGCAGCTTACGGAACCGTGGGAACCGCAACGTCCAGCCCATGGCGAACTGGTCCGTTGGCGTGATGCTGGCGGCTTTCACTGAGATGACGACCGAGTCGCTCGGTCGGATCCACACGTCCGGCTTCTCATATTGCAACCTCTCTCCTCCGCCGAGCTCGATGTATTCTGTGGGCGGATTGGCAGCGTCCCAGTCCTGCCATTTCCCTTCAGTGTGATGCCGGATCTCGGCGTAGTCCTCCGCCTTGAGACCGCCGCCGACTTTGAAGAAGGAAAGACATTTTTCGGCGGTCGCTGCTTTGCCGCTTTCGATCAAGTTTTGAGAGACGCGCAGACCGCAGAGGAAGGAAGAGAGCGTGCCGCCTCGCCGGCCGGAGCCGAAGTAGCCACCTACTACCACGCAGTCCATCGACTCGCCGAACTCGGACATGTACTCGGGTTTGACCTTGATCCAGTCGTTGTTGCGACTGTTCAGCGAGTAACGCGAGCGCGGGTTCTTGAGGACAAGACCCTCCGATGCTTCGGCTACGACTCGTCGTAGAAGCGGCTCGATGGCGTCTGGGGAGGTGGCTCGCTCGAAGGGAAGAATCTCCAAGCGGCGGTGGACGCCGACGACGGCGCGTTCGAGGGCTTTCCGCCGGTCGTTGAGGGTGTACTCGGTAAGCGGCTTGTCGTTTAGGAGCATGATGTCGAAGACACGGTAAAGCGGACGAGGACCGGCCTTGGATGGGTTCTTTTGCTGCTCCAGCGCGGCCGTCTTGAGCGTTCCAAAGGGGACCATCTTGTCGATATCGATGTCCCACGTAATCATCTCTCCGTCAAGAATCAAGTTCCTTACGCCGTCGGCAAAGGCGTTGCGCAGATGCCGTGTCAGAGCGGACTGCTCATCGCCCAAGCTCTCGCCATAAAGATATGTGTAATCCTTCGCCTTCCTGGACCAAAACGCAAACCTGAACCCTCCCGGCACGGTATCGTCCTCCATCATATGCATCTGCATCCTTTCACCATCCAGCTTCTCCTCGATCCAAAACTCCTGGCCCTCCTCTGTAACGCCCAGATTCTTCACCAATTTATCAAACGTCGTCGTCATCTGAAACTGCGCCAGCTGCGACTGGAAGCACTGCATCAGCGTGATCCCCGTCTCCTGCTGCTCCAGCCGAAACTCCGGATCATACAACTCCCAACACACCCTCCTCAAGCTCGAAGACACACTAAACAGCGCCTCGGCATCCGGATGCCACAAGTTAAGAAATGTCCGCTCCGTCGCGCCGACCCTCATATCCTTGAGAATGATCCTCACCAACCACATCACCTCCTCGGCATTCATTTGTCTGTAAAACTCGTCGAAAATCGGCATCTGCTCCGCCTCGCCACTGGCCCCCGCCAGCCTGTCAAGCAAAACATTGACATCCGCCACCGTCATGTTTCCCGGCTCGCTCCTCATCGCCCGCTTGCTGACAACCTCAAACACCCTCCCCGCAAAGTCGCCCACCGACCTACTAATCCCGCTCTGCCCTGGCAATTTCCAGTGCATAAGATTATATCCATCCTCGGAGTTGCGATCGATCTTCATCACCTTCACCAGCAACCTCCCAATGCTATTCTCCTTCAGCCCGTACACCCCGCGATCGCGATCCTTGTCGGGCAGGATCAGGCGCATGGCCGGATAGAAGTCGTTGCCTACTTCGGAGCGCCAGCGGGACATGAAGCGCTCGATGATGTGGCGGCGCTGCTCATGGTAAGATACCGTGGAGGAGAAGTGGCCGCCCCGACCTGGCTTGGGGCCGCGGACAGGGCCGCCCCCGGAGGTGGAGGGTTTGCAGTCTATGAGGGGGTTGAAGAGGGTGCGGTAGAGATCGGAGAAGGGGAAGGTTTTGGAGTGGTTATGGGGTCGGTTTGGAAAGCTGGGGTTTCGGGTTAGTGGACTGGATTGGAAATACATATGATGGGGATCTGCTTCCTCCATGGAGATGTGAACTCACTGCTCATCTAGTTCTTCTATGCTCATGGTACCGGCACCGTACTGGTGCTGGTCTTCCTCCAATGCCTCCTCGTCTGGGGATCTGGATCGCTGTTGGTATTCATTGTGAATGTGTGAATGTGTGATGGCCTTTCACACTCGCTGCTTCGAAATGGTTGTGTTGTTTTCAAGGTAATTCAACGATGTCTGGGTGTGTTAAACCATCACAATGAGATCACGGCTTTCAGACACAACCTAGATTCAAAATTCTTGCGGAAATAAAAAGAAGTATCAAAGTCGACCCAAAAGAACTGTCGAGTAGTGTCCAAGTTAAACCACTCTTATCTCACTTCTTTTTATCAATGTTCAGAACGCGGTTGTTGCCTGGAGCAAGAGTTCACTATGACGCGCTATGGATTACAGGAGCAGGTAGGGTAGGCTACAGCATCGCATTTGAAACTTGGCACTTTGATAGACACTGATCAAACCCTAACCCTTGGATCGTTTTGTACTACCACTTACACGAGCACAACGACCGACCATCACGAGTGCAACAAGAGTAATCAAGTTTTAAGAATAAGTAGAATCAACTGACTATCTTCCTTGACTGAGGCTTCGTAGGGATCGTAGTGTTAATAAACTGTAGCTGAAATATTACAAAGGAAAATTAGGTGCTCAGTAAAGCCAATCGAACCGTATTACGCAGTCTCTGGGTATCCCTTTCTTCTCCTTCCTACTTGGGTATTTTTTTGACTTGCTTCCTCCATCCTACAACTAGACTGCAATGGGTATAAATCATGTACCTTTCAGTACTCCTTCCGTCCGTATTCAGCATTCAGTCATTATTTTGGCAAAGCCATCTTTCCAGGTCATTTCAAAGAAACGTCGTCTCGTCATGTCTTTAAACACCGACAGCAACGCGGCCGTTAGGGGCAGTGCCGACAGTCTTCATACCATGGCCGCCCATAGCAGGGTCGCTAGGAAGGTAGTTGCCACCGGGAACGTTCAGGCCACCGTTGCCGACGTTCGCGCCAGGACCGCCGTGGAGCGCGTACCCGTTGCCAGAACCGTGGGCTGCACCATTAGTGGCAGCGTGCGGGTTACTGGCAGTGTGCGGGTTACTGGCAGCGTGCGGCTTGCGAACAACATGAGGAGCGCCAGGGATGTCGTGGCTCTTGCCAGCAGAGCCAATTGAGAAGACGGGGCTCTCCCACTTGTCTCCCTTGCGAGCGAGGTCCTTGTACTCCGTGGCCTTGGAGCTGATTCCGCCAGGAAGGTGGATGTGGGGGAATATGCTGTCCTCCTTGGTGACAGCATAGTTGACCTTCTTGTCTGCAACAACGCCCTGGGCCTTCTGCTTGCCCTGGAGGATCTTCTTCTGAGCCGCCGTGACGTAGCGGTTGTAGATGTTGGGAGTTTTCTCGGGATCCTCACGAGCCTCATCAAGAGCCCTGTCAGCCTCCTGCTTGATCTCGTACAGCATGCTGTCAAGTCTGGCAGCCTGGTCGCGAATGGCCTTCTCAAGAGCCTTCTGGAGGCCAGGGCGGAGAACCTTGAGCATGATGGGCTTGAAGAGGTTGAAAAGCAGCTTGTGGTTGGACTTGACCAACTTGATACGCAAGTTCTTGACATCGACATCCACCTTGTCAATCTTGAAGAAGTTCTGCCTGTCCTTAGCATCTGCAGAAGACATCTTCATCCTGAAGGTGAAGCCATCGCCTTCAAGCAGAATGTTGAAGATACCGGTGTCGCTGAGCGATGGGAAGCCCTGCTTCCGCTTGATGTAGTAGCTCACATCGCGCAGATCCATCTGGATACCAGCAACCTTGACGTCAACGGCCATCCTGTTCTTGTTGGCGATCTTCTTGCGACCAAAGCGCATGTAGTTTTCACTAGCAACTTCGAGGACATTGGGCATGAAGTTGTCGCTTTCAAGGACGAGATTCTCGATGACGGCGTCGATCTGGGGATCCGAGTACTCGATACGGGGAACCGGAATGTAAGCAACATTCTCGAACATGGCGGGAATGATTACGTCGGTCAAATCCTTGATGAGATGGGGCTTGAAGGTAGGCTTGCCGTTCTCATCGTTGCCCAGGTCGGCGAACAGCTTGTTGAGGGAAGCCGCAAAGCTCTGGTTTTGAGGATCCTGGTCGAACTGATCGGCCAAGAACTTGAGCTCATCAACAATGCGGTCAGTATGGGCGCGATACTTGTTGCGGAGGAGGTAGTTGCCGTGGTCGTAGAGGCGGTTCCACTCCTCGTTGGATGCATCGTCGAGAATGTAGCCCTCCTCCCTGAGGCAGCGGCGAATGTAGCTATTCATAGCCTTGAACCAGTTCTTCAACTCGGGATCTCTGTCGGCATCCTCATAGATGGTGTTGATAGAAGCCCACAGATCATCGCTGGATGTGCCGTTGGCGAAGCGCTCGATGAGGGTCTTGAGATCACCCTCGGCCTGAGCCAAAGCGGTACGGGTCTCCTTCACAGTACCAGTGCCCCCCTGAGCAAGTCTGTTGGCGTGGCTACCGTACTCCTCGGCGAGGTTGAGCAAAGTGGTAATCGCACGCTGGTAATCAGGGTGTTGCTGGCATTCAACGACCATTTTCTACATATAATGTTAGCATTTTTTTCCGGCTGAAATAACCACGGTTCGGCGTGAAAATACCTTCAAGCGCCAAATGGTTTGCTCACGACGCTCCTGGGGAACCTTCTTCTGGAAGTACTCCCTGGTGCGGGCCCTGTACTCCTCTTTCTTATTCTTAGCCTTCTCCCTGGTCTCATCATCGAGGTTCTGGTCAATCTTTTGCTGAGCGGTGTTCGCAGCAGCAGAGACACCCTTCTGAGCGTCGATTCCGGAAGAGCCGCCAGTGCGGCCATCGTGAGCAGCGGTGTTGGCTAGATCTCTGGGGTTGGCAGACCCATCAGGGTGAGCAGCAGAGGTGGCCTCGCCCATAATGTGCTTTGCGTCCTCCTTGGGGTTTCCCTTGTAGAAGTCATTGAACTTGCTCTTCACCTGATCGCGGGAAAGCTCAGGCTTCTCGTGCCAAGTGTTATCGGCAGCGGGCGCATCAATCTGCTGGAGATCCTCCTGGGAAGGTCTCACGCGAGCTGCGGCATTGGTAGCAGCATCGCCAGCGATGTCACGGAGGAGAACAGTGGCATCCTTGACTGGTAATTGTTAGCATTTTTCCCGAGCAAATGTCTACAGTTAGGTTAGACAGTTCAACTTACGCAGCTTACGGAACTGGCCGTTGGTAATAATAAGGGTGCCCAGAGTGCGCAATCCCTCGAGGGCCTGGTTGCCATGCTGCTGGGCCTGTTCCTTATTCACAGGGGCACCAGGGACGTTGACAGCCTTGGGGTCCCATTGCTGTGTCTGCCAAATGAAATCCTGAAGGAGGTTTCCGTCGTTCTTGGAGAGCAGGAGATTCTTGGCCTGTCTCACAACCTCCCGGAAATCGGCAACAAGCGCCTGTCCCTCGGTGGAGAGCTTCTTGGATGGGTTTGCGAGCGCCCTGGACTGGAGGAAGCTGTTCAACGCGACATCGATTTGGTCGTTCTACATAAAAACAGTCAGCGTCATGCTTCATATCCAACTGCGACTGGACCTAGTTGTGGGTAGTCCATACCGAAGGAACCTTGCCGTGCTGGAAAGCGCTGGCGATTCCGTAGAACTGAAGTTTGCGGTTGACGTCGGCCTCCTTCTGCTTGGCATCAACTGGCCGGTTGACGTTTGCCTTTCCGTTGACGGTCGCCATGTTGACTGATTAAAGAACTGAAATCAAAGGACACGCAGAGGTATTAAGGTGTCTGTTGGTATGGCTGCTGGGTATCACCGGAAAACAAAATAGAAAACCGTGAGGTGAAAAAAGGCGGGTAGGATGCTGAAATATCGTAATATCGGTCCTCAAGTTGGAAAAGCAAACGACGATTAAACGCGGACGAATGCGGGGGGTATCGGGTATTGGGTATCGGGTATCGTATTGTTGTTGTTATGGTACTAAGGAAAAAATTAATTGGTGAATAGGTCCAAGTCGAGATCGATGCAGATGAAGGGTTGAAATGGGGACGGGGTGGGCGGTATAAGTTGGTTTATAGCAGGAAGGGACCAAAGCCAGAGTTCCTCGTGCGTTTCTGGGCAGGCAGCTTGCTTGATGCTTGACGCCAGGTTCTGGTTCTTGAGTGACGTGGGAGCAACCTTCGGCGCGGAGGGATGGTATGCGTCATAGGGAAGGCACGCAAGACATCGGGGTTGGACAGCCTTTGAGGAAGCAGAAAGCCCAGACCTGTTTCCGGTGGGTAGGTAAGGAGAAGCAGGGGGTCTACTCGTGAAGGCAGGGGTGCAGAAGAAATCTCTGAAGAAAAAGAAAAGGGAATCTGAGAGAGTGACGATGCCATGCCCTTTCCCTTTTTCACTTTTGCTCATCAGTCTTGGCCAATGTCCCTGGTATTTTCTCTCCTTAACACGCGCATTTACCTGTTATTTACTTCCTAGAAGGGTTAGACCTAGTGAACCACAGTAAGCACATTCCAGGTGATTATCGAGTCGGCCCCCTTCACGGAGCTCTCTGCCAGACAAGGGTGAAGCTCAAGGGACACTCCATGGAAAAGTTGGGACTCGGGTGGTAACCGTGACGATCGGTTGAGATATTGACGAGGATCTTGACGCCAATTGGGTGGCCGGGGGGACTGAGCCGTGTGAGCTTCACCAAAGCAGACCAAGCTTCTGTTTTCAAGATGCACCACAATTCAATACGTGCGTCACACCTTCAACCCTCTCCTAGATGTCGAAAATGGTCATTTTCTGGTTCGTCTTGAAACAAGACCTTCCAGGTGAGGGGCTAGCACACCCCGTGGCTGCACCGAGATGCACACAAACGGAGCACTTGCGCGACGTCCGCAGTGTGAATCAGTCCCTCAGGCTAATTAAACGACAGTTCAGACGGCCTCAAGATGCCTCTAGGTGTCTCTTTGTCACTCTCGAGAATATCAGGCCACTCGCTTGTGTCTGTGTTTTCTTGCTGCGGTGGCCAGCCATCTTGGTGATACAACTGCTCGGGTCTGCCTCAACAGGGCAGCCAGGGCAGCACTTAGGCTGGCTTCCTTCCCCAGCCCTGCTGGGACAGACGCGATTGCAAATCGATCTCATTCATCCTTTTCCCTAACGTCCACGTTTCTGTTTTCATTCTGCAGTGAAAAACGAAACAAATCCGAGTGAGCTGCCTGACATCGGGATGGAGACCCGTACCATGTGGGCATCAGGGTCATCTCCATCTCATCTGGAGCACTCGGTGGGCCGCCGCACTAAAACTGATATGACATACCGGTATGTCCATCATCCATCAGTCCCTTTGATCGAGAATGACTGAACTCCCTCCGAGTGTCAAAGCTTCTCCTCTCTTCTCCCAACCCGTGACTAGAATGTGCCAGATATCATAAGTTTGCTTGACGTAACTTCCGATATGAAAGAGGCTCGCTACGGCATTGGGTCATTGGCTCACATCAAGCACAAAAAACTGAAAAGGAGACCCAATTCCGTGCGCTGTTACAAACGCGACTTTGATCAAGTTCAAGGATCCAACACATGAGATCGCAAGCCCATGACGTCACAGAGAGTGGGACTGCCGGCTTATGGGTCATGGAAATGCTTGGCGCGGTCTGGACACTGTAGGGCCACAATCAACGCAACCTCGTTCCGCGCATCATCAACTGTTACTGAACAAACAAAACAAGCCCAAGACCCTGAAAAACTTGAAGCCATCGAAAATCATCGAGCTTCATCATCACAAATTTGGTGAACCTCCAAGCCACCTTGCATCATGTTTTTTTTGCCAGCCATCGTCCTTTGCCAGTCGTTGACATTCAACGCATGCCATTGCCAAGACGGACTCCGAATGGGCCGCTGTCGGCCACAACACATTCGGTAGAGAACGGGTTGTGATTGTCGATAACGATCATCGATCAACCGTTTTGATTCCCTTGCCTCCGATGAGTGTACTTGTGATGACGAGAGGTACCTAAACCGTTATGTGCGATTTCTGTAGCTCAACTATAGGCGGGCCGGTATTTGAGTGCTTACGTCGGTAAGGTGTGCACTACCGACTGCATTGTTGATGGCTATGCCGGGGTGTGGACATCACAGATTTGAAGCGCGGCTTATAAGGCTGTGGGCTGTAAAGCGACGTCGAAATAATCTCAAGCTGTCAACCTTGCTGCTTCATAAGGGCAGGCCTATCGCTCGTCCCTGCCATACTTACAATGACAGGTCCATCCTCCGGTTATCGGATCCACGATGGGAGCATGGAAAGATTCAAGATTCCAAATCTCACCAAAGCCAGATGATTTCTCATCCAAGAAACAACCCGACAGGATGGAATGTCAACATTTGTGACAGGCACGGAGCGACGGAAAGGTAAATGTTCAATGTCTCTTCACGTTAGATGAGATACTCAGTCGCATATAACATGTCGATGAAACCAATCAGATCAGCTAAATTTACCGGTCCATCCGCATCCTGACTGACGTAAAGTTAAAGATCGCGATCTTGATGCCCGGGCTTGGCCCGGAACGGACTGTTCACCGTCGGTGAGGGCGAAGGGGACCCGGACCAGCCATCTCACCTCGGTGAACGGAAACAATAAGATGCTGGTCCGTGCAGTCTCTATAAGCGAATAGAGTCACATGATCACGAATCTCAAAAATGTCGAGTCGCGCCAAGCGAGAGCTGGAAGCCTGGAGAAAGACGGGATTGGAATGACTTGGCTGCAGCAGCTGCAGGCTACAGGACTGCCCGGCCATGCGGCGAGATATTGCAGCTGTCAAATCGCCTCACGCCGTGTTCCAGCGCTCCCCAACAAGCAGCGGGATTGGACGCCGACGGGAAGGTCAGGGTCGCAAGGTCGCACCCGCCTGGGGAATCTTGGGAGTCCAGGCGATTCTGCTAGTGCAGGCTGCCAGTGTTGGGGTTTCTGTTGTGCAGTGGCATGCAGTGGTGGATGGAATCTGCATTTGACTTTTCCTCATCTTTTTTTGTCTGTCACTGTCCCTCTTGTCTGTTACCGTATCCACTTTTCTGCCCTTTTCTTCATCTCAGAGATCAAACACCTGCAGGAAGATACTTCTTTGTTGCACATCCCTCAGCCCAGCCTTGCTATGCCATATACCCATTAGATTTGGTTCACCTGTCGCCGAGCGCCCATTTACATATTTCAGCCTTTCGATCCCGAACAGTTTCTCGACATACAGAAGTGTAGCGAGCGTGTACTTACACTACCTACATACACATCAAAACACCCTACTCACTCCCTGCCCCCGCGGACCGGACCAGAGACGCAAAGGCATTTCGTTACTCGTTACAGGATCCCGCCGAGACGGGATACCCACCGAACAATCCACCGAACTAAGAACGGAGCGAGTCCACCTTTCCGTCGCGCCGCGCCTTTTCTCGGCGCAGGCCTCCCGAAGCGAAGAGACCCCAATCCATACTACAGTATCTTTTTTCCTGCTGAGCCTGCTCCACGAACCTGAAGCTCGATCTTCGAACCCACTTCCGTCGTCCTCTGCCTTATCACAAAGTCCAAAAAAGCGTATCGATACCCTTACCTAGCTACGCCGTACAGCTTGACTAGTCTCTGTCTCTCTCAACGCCTTGCGCCCCTCTTCGTCGTCATAAGTCGCCGTCCCATTCTTGTCTATCTCTATTCAGTTTTTTTCTGTTATCAGTAACACCATATACTTTATTGTCAAGGTACAATCAACAGCCGGCCAACGCAAAGCGAAACGACCGAACGACCGGGAGGCGGAAAAGACAAGAAACATGAGCATTTTCAACCAAAAATCAAAGTTCAAAATCAAGACCGAGATCCGCACCGTCCGCGAGACCGTTGAGCGCCCCAAACTCAAAGCGTCGACATCCTCCTCGAGCATACCCACCACCGGTTCCTCACAGCACTCCAGAAACGTCCGGACTGCGGGGGCGGGGTCATCTCTGTCGCGCGCCTCGTCTACGTCCAGACTCAACGGAACGAGCCACACCACCTCCTCTACCTCCTCCTCCGCCCGCGCTTCCCTCACCAAGGTCAGCACCACCACGCTTTCACGACGGGTCCAGAGCGCGTCGCCCAACCCATCCATCAACGGCGACGGCCGGAGCAGCCGCAAGCGCCGCGCGACCAAGGCCTCGAGCCGGTCGCCCATCAGCCCTCACTTCTCTGAGGACTCAGATTCCGACAGCAACGGGGACGAGAACTGGGAGGACAACCTGGATGCGCGCAAGCGTCGCAAGCGGGTGCACGACGAACGACCCGTGGACGTGAACCGGAAGTTACGACACCCCAAGATATGGAAGGGCGAGGATGCGGACCAGGTGGAGCGGATACCCGGCCCGGGCATCATACATGCGGCCAAGGTCGCGAGCCTGGAACACAAGTGCAAGCCCGCTTTGAACTTGAAGAACGAGGAGGTTGCTGTGCGGTTGCAGTACCCTGGGGTCAGGTATCCTGAACGGTGGGTAGTCCTTTCTACGATTCCCTTCTCTTCACCTTTTACACCCCCTTCATCCCATTCATACATACCCCGCCTTAAAACATAACATGAAGCTAACTTTGTCACCTGTGTGCATGGTACAGATACGAACTGGTAGAAGGCAAAGATAAGATTGATGCCGTCAAGGATATCGAAAAAGTAGTACAACTAGTGGCCTCAACTTATCTCACAGACGAAGAGGCCAAGATCTTCCTTGACCACCAGACCGGCATCCTCCGAAAACTCGTCAAGAGCAAAAACCGATCCGACGGCCCCGGCTTCAAAGCCGCCCTCCGCGAATACAACGACGAACTCCTCAAGCTCATGCGCAAGGGCGTCATTGTGCGAAACCTCGACAAGATGCACGGGATACCGCGCGAGCTGGTCGACTTTATCCTCGACCAGGTCTACGACCGCACCGTCGCCCCACGGGTCGAGCTCTTGGCCAAGTACCAGAACGGCAGCGACAACGTCTACGGCGAACTCAACCACCCCTTCATCTCGGACATTTTGGAAAGGACTAACCTGACCTCGGACAAGGTTTTTGTCGATCTCGGCTCGGGCGTCGGCAACGTGACGCTCCAGGCGGCGCTGGAGATTGGATGCGAGAGCTGGGGCTGCGAGATGATGGAGAACGCGTGCAACCTGGCCGAGGCGCAGTACGACGAGTTTTTGGCCCGCTGTCGGCTCTGGGGGGTCAAGCCCGGCAAAGTGCGCCTGGAGAGAGGGGATTTCCGTAAGAACGAGAAGATCCTCGAGGTGCTCAAGCGGGCCGACGTGGTGCTCGTCAACAATCAGGCCTTCACGTCGCAGCTCAACGATAACCTCGTCAGCATGTTCCTGGATCTCAAGATCGGATGCAAGATCATCTCGCTCAAGACGTTTGTGCACGACAACAAGAATGCCGAGAACGATGTGGCCACGTCGATCCTGGATGTCGAGCACTTGACGTATCCTGAAGGCTATGTCAGCTGGACTGGCGCTAGCGGGACATATTGTATCTCGACCCGGAGGTGATGAAGGGGGGCACTCGCGCTGGATTTGAATGAAAAGAGGAGGTTAGCGAGCTCTTTCCTGCTTTGGCGGGGCTCTTGGTACCATCCCCGATGATGATACCTGGATCAAGATATTCCTAGGAGTATGATGCGCGTATGGTGTGTCTTATTTTCTAGCATAGCGGTTTTCTGGATGGCGCGCCTGCAAAAGCGTGCTTATATCATCTCCGCGTTGTATGGGTTTTTATTTCAATCTGATATATCCAGATGTACGCGTAAAATAGAGGTGGAAGGGAATGGAAGGGAATCGGAAAGGTAAAAGGGAAAGGGAAAGATACCGGGTTCTTATATCAAGTACATACGTACATACCTTTTGTAACAGCCCCCGTGTGTAGTAAATAATACGCTGGCTGTGCAAGCTTATAACCAAAGATACCCAACCAAAACTCCCGCGCTATGCCAACTGAATTACTGTGAATCATCCGCCTTTCCTCGTGGTATCTTTGGCGCTGGTAGATCAAGGAGCTGGAAGACCGGAAAGGATCGTCGAAACCTCGCTGCGTCCTCAGACGGCCCTCTTTGCCCTCCTCTTGTCGTCTATACGTGTATCTCTCGGTGTGGTGCTCTCCGTCCCTATCGGGTTGGGCACATTCGATATTCCCGGGTTTCCATCCTATCTCCTCCTGGAACCAGATGACCGATGGCCAGAACCCGACGTCGTATCATTCGCCATGTTCATGGCCTCCGCCTCCTGCCCAACCCGCTTCATGAAGCGGGCTACTAGCTGCTTATTCTCCGCCTCCATCTCGGAACGCCGCTTCTCGACGAGATCCAGGTGGGTGTTGAGTACCTGCAACTCATCCTGCACGTCCGCCAACATCTTGCTCTTGGCACGCAGCTCTTCCTCGCGGTCTCGGAGCTTGATGGTGAGCGTTTTCCTCTCGGCCGTCAATGTTTGTATTGTCTTGTTATCGGTTGTCGTCTTGGTCCGCAAGCGGACGAGCTCCTCTTCAACTACATTTAGTCGCCGTTGGAAGTCGCCTTTTGCACGGAGGGCTTCGGCTAGATCGACACGGAGGCGGGCGAGAAGGGCGGAATCGGCGGTGTTCGGTGCAGTTGTTGTCGAGTCAGCGGCGGCGGCGGCGGCAACGGTCTTGGTAGTGTCTCGGTCTCGGGGCTTGTTGGCGGCGCCGCTACTTGACGAGGAGGAAGATAGGTAGGTCTCGACTTGTTGTTGGAGGGCCGCCTTTTCGGCTTCTAGTAGGGATATGCGGTCGAAGAGTTGCTGGCCTGGAACACTTGCATGTTTAGGATGATGTTTGCTGGGTGGTAAGTTTTTCAATAAGGAATCAAAGGGAGTTGTGGTGAGAACTTTAAGCAAGCAAGACAAGACAGGACGAGACAAGACAAAGAAGCAGGGCAATGGAGGCCGGGGCAAGGCAACTGACAGGTATCCACAAGCTCTCGGTTGACGGGATTCCGCTGGTCGGCATCCACGAGGGATGAAAGGTATTCATCGCGCCAGCCCGGCATTTTGGTGGGTTACGAATTGGATCTGCTGTGGCCGATGCGGAGAGGAGGTCCGGAACGTACAGATGGGCTGGGGGAGAGATGGCTCTCAAACAAACAAGAAGCGGTAAGTCAGAAGAATAAGGATCCGGGAAGTTGGGAGTTGGTACAAATTAACCGGCATGATTCGTTCCTGTGCCGGAGGATGTAGATGATGCAAACATTAGTCGGACCGGGAGCTTTGTCTTTAGCGCACAAGAGGGGGGGAGCTCATGGAGGGGCTTGTGGGGCTGACAACTGGGTACTGTCTCCACATGGTGACTCCATGGGGCAGGCCTGATCAACGACAGGAGCAGGGGGGAGGCATCCAACTGTGCGCGCCTGCCAGGTCATCCAAGGAACATCCGCTAGCGTACCTATCTGTAACCACACTGCAGCCTGAGCCGGGGGCTGTTGGGGAAGGAACGACAACACCTCCACACACACGCGGAATCTCGTACCTTGTTGGAGAACACCTCATGCTCATTCTCATCACTCTTACTCACACTCACAATATGCAAACATGATGATATGATGGAGGTCCCTCATCCAACAGCAGGATGGGAACAGGTTGGCGAAAAGTTTTACCGCAAAACCCAACTGTACACCCAAATTTTTGATGCGGACCTAGACCTGGACAACTACATTGTCGCCGGTGCCCCCTATGGCGGAGCTGTTGGTATTGTTTTCCTTGTGATCCCACTCTCTATGATGACGTGTCCCAGAAAGGTCATGCTCTGACATTGCCATCACAGCTCTATACCGAGATGAGGACAAGTTGGTAGCATTCGCCGCAGGAAGGCCTTCGAAACCGAGCATAGACATCTACAGCTGTGCCGGGAAACTCATCAGGCGCATTCCGTGGGATAAGGGCTCGATCAAGGGCCTAGGCTGGTCGGAAGACGAGAAGCTGCTGGTTGTCACGGGCGACGGCACCGTGAGGTGTTACTACGATCTCCAGGGCGACTTCACCCAGTTTTCGCTTGGACACGATGCCGATGAGGTTGGGGTTCGGGCATGCAAGTTCTACGGCCACGGTCTCGTTGCTCTCCTAAACAACAACTCGCTCGTATCAGTCTCGGCTTATGATGAACCGAGACCCAAACTCCTGGCGCAACCTCCCGAAGGCCAGGTCAACTCATGGTCTCTCGTTCCACCTGCTTACACCTTGTCTCGGTCCGTCGAGGTTTTGCTAAGCATCGGCCAAACCATCTACGTCTCTGATGCCAGCGAATGCGAAGACCGCTACATCGATATCGGACCGTTCTCACACATCAGCATCTCGCCAAATGGCAAGTTTGTAGCCTTGTATACAACAACTGGCAAGGCTCATGTCATCAGCAGCGATTTCCAGACTCGGCTGAGCGAATACGTCTCCAAATCCAAGATTCCGCCACAGTACTTCGAGTGGTGCGGCAACGACGCCGTCGTTATCGCCTGGGAGGATGAAGTCCGTCTCGTCGGCCCAGGGGGCTCCCTAGCCAGGTTCTATTACGACAATGGCCGGATCCATATCCTGCCCGACTTCGACGGCGTGCGCGTTCTCGCCAACGACACTTGCGACTTCCTTCAAAAAGTCCCCGAGGTGATCGACGAGGTCTTCCGTCTGGGTACCGACTCGCCCGCATCCATCTTGCTAGACGCCGTCGAACAGCTCGAGATGCAATCACCAAAGGCCGACGACAACATCCAGCTCATCCGGTCCAACCTCGTCGAAGCCGTCGACACGTGTGTCAACGCCGCCGGCCAGGAATTCAGCATCCATTGGCAGAAACAGCTCCTAAAAGCCGCCTCCTTCGGCAAATCCGTCCTTGACATTTACAACAGTGACGACTTCGTCGACATGTGCGAGACCCTGCGCGTGCTCAACGCCGTGCGCTTCTTTGAGATTGGCCTGCCCCTATCCTACGAGCAATACCAGCGCCTCTCCCCTTCCGGTTTAATTGCCCGTCTCCTCAACCGCCGCGAATATCTCCTCGCCCTCAAGATCGCCGGCTACCTCCGCCTCCCCACCGACAAGATCTACGTGCACTGGGCCTCGGCCAAGGTCCGCGTCGGCGCCGAAGACGACGACACCATATGCCGCAAGATCGTTGACAAGCTCTCAGGCAAGCCAGGCATCTCCTTCGAAGCCATCGCCCGCGCCGCCTACGATGAAGGCCGCGGCCGGCTGGCGACCGAACTGCTCAACCACGAGCCGCGCGCTGGTAGACAGGTGCCGTTGCTGCTCAACATGGAAGAAGACGAAGTGGCGCTCGACAAGGCCATCGAGTCCGGCGACACCGACCTCGTCTATTTCGTACTGCACCAGCTCAAGCGCAAGCTGCCCCTGGCGACCTTCTTCCGGGTCATCAGCAGCCGGCCCACGGCCACGGCGCTGGTGGAGACGTCGGCCCGCTTGGGAGGCGGTGTGGTCCTCGGGAACGTCGACGAAGACCATCATTCCCACTACAACCAATCCGGCAGCGGCAACACCACGTGCGAGGACACCGCCCTGCTCAAAGACCTCTACTACCAAGATGACCGCCGGGTCGACGGCTCCGACGTGTTTGTGCGCGAAGCGCTACGCCAACCCGAGGCCCGAACGGCAGCCGACAAGCTAGCGCTGGCAGCCAAGTTGCTGTCGGACAACGCCAAGGAAAACGCGTTTGAGCTGTCTGCCCTGAAAGAGGCGACGACGCTGCTGAGGATGCAGGAGGCGTTTGATCGCGACCTGCACCCGGAGACGTTCACGGGCCTGTCGGTCAATCAGACCGTGTTCAAGCTGATTAGGCTGGGATATCATGGACGGGCGAAGAAGGTGCAGAGCGAGTTCAAGGTTACGGAGAAGGTTGCTTGGTGGATTCGGTATGTGTTTTTGTTTCTTGTCGTCCTTTTCCCCCCTTTTCCACCTTTGCCCTTTCCCTCTCCCCCTTTCTTTCCCTCCGTTTCCTCCACCCTTCCTTACCCCTTTTATGTCCGTCCACCCCATCCCAACTTCATCCCCATCCCCATCCCATTTGCTATACTAACAGAGGCCCTCAAAAAAAAAATAGCCTCCAAGCCCTAGTCTCCAAACGCGACTGGTCCGAAATCGAAGACCTCTCATCCAAAAACCGCAAGTCGCCCATCGGCTGGGAACCCTTTTACACCCAAGTGCTGCAAGCAGGTAACCAGCGGCTGGCGGCGACTTTTATCCCCAAGTGCGCACCCTCGATGGAGCAAGGAACGACGATTGGCATGTACGAGAAGTGCGGGATGCGCGTCAAGGCTGCTGAGGAGGCGGTCAAGTACAAGGACGCGGAGAGCTGGGCGCGGCTGCTGGAGGAGGCGGGTAGGGGCTCGCAGGAGGGGAGGGAGATTGAACGGTTGGGACAGAGTGTTTTTAGGCGGTGATTGATAAATGAGTATATGAAGATTACGAATTCGGGCTTTTTCTTTGGTTTTTGTTAGTATGCTTTTTTTTCCTCATGAGGATTCGAATAAACATGGTATGGTATGACTTTGGATCAGACGGCTTCAAGATGAACAGAGCATGAGGGAGACAGACCCTTCCTATATTTCTTCGGTCACTCATCAATGAGAGGAGGTTCCATGATCAAACTTGGTATCATTATACTCCCTCAAACCAAATCAACAAGACTTCGACACGTATATTATCTGGCGGCCAAGTAAACTCGTCTCGCTATGCCCCCATTATATCGCCATGGTTAAGATCGCTATGTGTAGGTCCGACAGAACAGTAATTATGCCAGCCCAACCCGTGATTCGTGTTATCCGAGAAAATGAATCAAGCCTTTCTTTTCCCCCCACTACAGAACTCCTCAAGGCACAAACAATGATGATGCTGTCTACATACATACTTATCAACTTATCCTCCCCTCTCAATAACAATATGTAATCGTTTCTTCCTCCTCTATTCTCACTTCCCCAATCAGCCACGTTGCCTCTCTCCTACCTGGCGTAGATAGCTGCTGCGTTGAAGGCCAAAGTAGAGATCGACCACCGGGCAATGGGTTTATGCTTCTCATTTTGACATGTGCCCGGCCGCGTCGTTTACGACAGAAAACTTTGCAAACATTCCCTCCTTTGACTTCTTTCCCAGAGCAACAAAGACCTCGCAACTCCATTAGATGCCAGCGTCCATACTCCTTATTCGACAGAGACCAAACCGACAGCATATAGTATAAGAAAAATCACTCGACCATGACCGAACGAAGAAGAGATCGTGAAGAACAAATAACGCCACATGCAGTAAATGCTAAGCAGAGTGTCAACGTGCCTGCTAGATAGCTGAATTGCTTCTGGGCCGTACGCCGTAGACCACCGTATTAGCCCGTGCAATGGGGGACCCATCGTGTGTAAGCTACTGAATAGCTGAGTTGATCGCAGACTGTAGTCTGTGCTGGAGACAGGGACAGAGGCTATGTACTCCCAGTACCCTGTGTGATGTGAGCACCTGCTACTGCGGCTTCGAGACTCGCTACTCTCGAAGTACTGTCTAGTTCTCCGTTGGTTCGCGTGCGTGTGGTGCTGCCGCCATCAAAAACCCAAGGTCCGACATCGTTGCGCGGTGTTATGGGTCCCTCGTGAGCGGCGACGACGTGAGCGATTCCAGTGGGCGACGGGGTCCTGGCGGCATCTCGATGGCTTTCGCCTGCTTGACCGTTGACTGCAGCTGGGTTCTGCCGAATGGGCACAGGCTGCGACGTGGAGTTATGCAAGGCCACGGGGCGGCTAGTCCCGTCGAAGGGGTTAGATGCTGCGGGCTGCTGCGGGTTCGAATACAGCATCGTTACGTCACCGCTAGCGTCTGTTTCGTGCTGGTGAATCGGCGTGACGGCTGCCGGTCGAGGTTGGGCGTCGTTGGAGCTGGTTTGGCTTTCATCCTGAACGTACACAGCATCTTCCATCTGTTCGTCTGCTTCCAGTTGCTCCCAATCCTCCGGGTCGTCAACCTCAGCCTCAAGATCGGCAGCGGCACGGCAGTTCGGGCATATAAACTGGGGATAGGATGGCGATGACAATAATGACCGGATGCACTTGTAATGCCATGTATGCGAGCAGGGGGCAACAAACAGAGACTGGCAGGGCTGTCATGCGAAGAGTTAGTTAGTCACCAGAACAAGATGAAAGAAAGCTGATGGGACGAGACTATGGGTACTAACCGCTATGCTGTTAAGACAGATCGAGCAGTCTTGCGAATATGACTGAGAGGCGCCATTCGCGGAATTTTGGGCTGTCATGTTTCTAAGCCTCTTGTGCGTTTGCATACTGCAAAGAGGTCAGCTGATATGTCACAGAGAAGGCACGACAGGTTAAAGAGCCGGCAGCGAAGGACAAGACGGCAAGCGGTGGAATACTAACTTGAAGGCGTTGAGTTTGGCCTGCCAGCCACGGTTAAGCTCGAGCCTCATTTTCACACAGCGGAATATCATTTCTTCGCCTCCCTTGAAGTCGATGCCCAGCTGCACGATATCGCCATCGTTAACTGGGAAGGGCTTGGATTCGGTTCCTGGAGGACTAAGGCGTATATGGTTGAGGAAGGTTCCGCTACTGCTTTTGACGTCTTTGATGAACCATTTTCCGTCTTCATACCAGAACTCGCAATGCCGCCTACTGACGACCTTGCTTTTAAATCCTACGGGCGCTGCCGAGGGCATATTATGCGGCACCGCTGAAGGTTTATCTCTTTCGGAGTATCTGCCGACGCGAATGATTTCTTTTCCGGTTGGTAGGGTGCGTGAGATTGGCGAGAAGGTAAGCGACGGGCGTGTTGCCCTAGGGTCGTAGAAGGTGCTAAAGCGTATCGAAGGAAGTGACTCCATGTTTCCGCCGGTTTCAGCCCTGCTCGCAACGTCGCTTGTAGTCGCGGATCGAGCCCTGGTCATGGTGGCCGCGTTACTGTTATTATTAATGTTATCCGAAGAGGAGCTGTTGCTATCGTATGTGTCTGCAGCCACCCGATTGCCGTTGTCATCCGAAGGAGGAACTGTGCCTGGGGGAGCTGATGTCGTCGGCGTGGCGGTGGTAGGCGACTCCAGAGACGCAGACGGGATGCCGTCGGTGAGGGAATGGGAGCGAGAGGTGAGAAGAGAGAATGGCGTTCGATTAGACCGCACAGAGGCCGAGTGGTGGTTGGTATTTGCAGTCGCGTCGTTGGTGGAGAGCGAAGGCGAATGTCGGGGCAGGCGCGCAGGGTCGCTTTGGCCGCGGGAAATGAAGGGAATATGGATGGCGGAGAGAGAGGAGGAATTCTGGTGATGGGCGCGGCCGTGGTGGTGTTGGGTGCCGACGAGGTTGTTGTTTGCGCTGGCGACGGCGGCGGTGTTATTGTTGTTGTTAGCGGCAGCTTTTCCACTTCCCACGGGCGCTGGAGCTGTGGCTGTGGGGGCTTCGGGGCCCGAACCAGGGCCAGCAGAGGTGGTGCTGCTGACCGTGCCGCTTGACGAGTTGGAGGTCACGGAGTGTTGTCCCGAGGCGTTGACGGGCGAGTTGGGCGTCGCCGTCTGCGAAGAGTGATCCCGCGACAGGATGTGAGTCTGGGTATAATTCCGGAGGTAACTCAGCCCACGGAGTCGACTTGTCCTTGACGTTGACCCTGAACTTCCAGTGGCAGCGGCGCCGGACGTGGGTGAGGCAGCAACACCTGGCGAAGAAGCGACTGAATCACTTGCAAACCCCGGATATGCGGGCGTTGGGGTCGAGTGGGTGAACATCCCCTCTAGAAGTACCTAACAGGCAAGGAAGGTGAGGTCGGTAGGAGCCCAGAGGGTATGGTAGAGGAAGGTGCCAGTGACAGTTGTGCAGGCAGCGATGGATCGATTTCCGGGCATGTATCAGATCCGACGTGTACGAATCGACCAGCGGTAGTAGAGGCAGGAACAAGGGGGGAAGTTGTGACAGTTGTCTAATTATAAACAAACAGAAGGAGCAAGAGGTTGGGCGGAGTGAAGAATACTCTCATATACAAGGTAGGAACAACTCGAGTCAGGGACCGGAAAAGGAGAGAAAAGAAATAACACTGCAGCGAGGCGGCGGTCGGTTTAGTAAAAAAAGATATGGAGAGATTCATAGGTCAGAAACAGTGCATGGTAGAGTCAACTTTGTATTGTTAATGTTTTTATTTTAACAGAGAGCCGTTATCCGCACCATCCACCCCATCCACCACCACAAACAACCCGGAAGTTGACCAGGAGTCTAGCCCAGTTCCAAGGTCAAATGGGGGGCCCTGGGTCCTCTGGTGGCCCTGATGGCGGTCCTCTACCAGTCCCGGGGCGATTCTCAAAGCCTCACATCCTGTCGTGCCTGTCGAGCTGTGCCGACCAAGCCAGAGGACCCAGACTCGGAGGAGACAAGCGATCCAAAGTGGAAATGGGTATGATGGATGGATGGATTGGGGTGGGTGCGCACCCATGGCCCATTCGTGATCCATCCGGTCCATCCATACCTAGATACCTTCTACGTACCCGTCACGTCGTCACTATGAGGCCCTCGGACCATCCATCCACATACCTAGGTTATGCGACCGTTGTCCATACATGGTGTTCATGATGTTCATGATGCCCTTGATATTGGCCTTGATGTAAGGAATGGTGTAATGACTGCCGTAGTTGACGCCCGAATGGGTGCTGACTTGTGTGGTTCCCGTTCAGCTGCCTCCCTAGATGCCCGCTGATGAATGCACCTTGCTGCAGGAGTCTGGCGTGGGAGATGAGGCATGGATTGGAAAAAGCACAAAGGGCTGTTCTTGGCTGGCACAGTGTAATAGTCGACCTTTCCCTATGCGGCGACGTCGCTATACAGTCCAATACTGGTTTGTCTGTTAGCTCGAGACCTCTGGTCAACCTTTCCAGGCGTTCATAAACCCGATAGAACAGACTCGCTCTTTAACGAAGGCATGAACTTTACTTTCTGTACCTCTATGCTGTCATGGAATTTTGATATGCCATCCTGGATCTTGTTGATGTCTTTCTAAATTGTACCTAGCCATGCGTGTCATTATATCTTGTCTTGTAAGGGTTGGGATGGTTTGAGATACATTTCGTCCAATGTGCTAAGAGTAGGTACCGAACTAACGCCCAAACCAGCATCATATTGTACAGATCCTGACTTTGATATGAGGCCAGGTGCACATTGGATATGACGGGGGTCGTTATCCAGGTCCCAAAAACTAACTTGTTCCAGAAGTTGCACAGACCTCTTTCCGTCTCAAGATACTCCAGCAAACGTTCTTTGCAACCCAGAATACAGCAATTCACCCCAAAAAGCCCCCTTTTGGGCCAGCTGAATTGCGAAAAGGAGTTCCCTAGCAAATATTGAGCAGTTTGCGCAATCAGTTTGCAATTATCTTAGTAAAAGATACCCGAAGTTGGATACGTTGCTAGAATTTGAAATATCGTAAGGTGTACTCGACTAAATGCTTAGGGTGGAAAAGTTGGGACCTGGATACTGACCCCCATATGACACCTCAGCTGCCCCTATACACTAGTGTACCGGTACTCTTCTTATCCTGACATCTTCACGAATCCATCTTCACGAATCCTCAGACCATAAGGCTGCCGTATGTGTACATGAGATCTGTAGGTACACTTCTGCGCGTTGTCCGTTGTCTGCGATGTTGTCGACATGCGAAGTCTCTCTCATCTGAAGAACGCACCCACTCATGACATCTACCACCGAGGGGCTGCTTCCGGACAATCATCTCCATGCTGAATCGTACAGTAGGTACTCGATTCAAGGGAGCATCATATTGATTGGAACCATTTTAAACCTCCATGAGACCCTCGAGTGTAACTCTCCCATTTTTCGCACTCACGCGGCAGCAACCGCAACCTCCAAAAAGAGTCCCACAGTGCTCAGCTGGTCAAAGTGCTTACGTGCCAAGTCGCTGTGGGCCATCTCACATGTGGACATGGGCTCCGCACGATAGCCTTGGCCAAGGCCCGCTAATCATATCGATAAGGCGTCTTTGCAGGGGAGCTAGGGCCTAGGATGGCTCTGTGGGGCAAAGTGGATTGAAGTTAGCACGACCTGCGCATTGACGCTGGGCCGATGAAGCGTGCGTTAATGGTGCCTTCCCCCGGCCGTTGCTCCAGGCTCCCTGCTTTACTGCCGCCCGCTGGCCGCTGCACCACCTGCACTGTCCGGGCATGAGGTGGTGGGCTGGCAAGCTGCCTGGTGGGCTGGTGCCGCATTTTCACTGGCGGCAACACTGAGTGGCCACTGGCGGCACGGCAGCACTCACATTGGATTTGCATCCAAGTGCCCAGAAGTCGCGGTTAAGCAATGACATTATACCGGACGAGGTAGACCACCCACATCACGCTGCCGGATCACAACTGTTGCAGCCATAATGCTGAATCGCTTTCGGCCAGCGCGGCTAGTAGCCCAATCCTCCAGATGCTCGTCCTTGAAGAGGACGCGGGCAGGCCCTTTGCCCGTTAGCAATATCAGGACCTTGGCTACGAGAGCCGGCGCTATCAACACCAAGGTACGCCCCCCTTCCAAGTCTGAAGAAGCTCCAAAATTTGGGCCATGATGATGCCATGCCATTGGGCAAAGTGCTGACTATGACTCTAGGAACCGACCGAACGCGACAACATCACCACTCTCTCTAATGGCGTCCGTGTTGCTTCCGAGGACCTTCCCGATGCCTTCTCCGGTGTGGGTGTCTACATCGATGCGGGGTCCCGTTACGAGAACGACTATGTTCGGGGTGCCAGTCACATCATGGACCGACTAGCCTTCAAGTCCACAAGTACGAGGACTGCCGACGAGATGCTTGAGACCGTTGAGAAGCTCGGCGGTAACATTCAGTGTGCCTCGTCTCGCGAGTCCATGATGTACCAGGCGGCTACCTTCAACAAGGCTATTCCCACCGCCGTTGAGCTCATGGCCGAGACCATCCGCGATCCCAAGCTTACGGACGAGGAGCTTGAGGGACAGATCATGACGGCGCAATATGAGGTCAACGAGATTTGGTCCAAGGCCGAGCTTATTCTGCCCGAGCTGGTGCACATGGCTGCTTTCAAGGACAACACTCTCGGCAACCCTTTACTTTGCCCCAAGGAGAGGTTAGACTACATCAACCGGGACGTCATCCAAACATACCGCGACGCTTTCTACAGGCCTGAGCGCCTTGTTGTCGCCTTTGCTGGTGTTCCTCATGAGAAGGCCGTCCAGCTCGCCGAGAAGTATTTCGGTGATATGAAGGCCTCTGATGCCCCCGGTCTCTCAAGGACTGGTTCCGAAACCTCTCTCGACTCACTAGCGTCCGAGTCCAGCGAGGCCTCTAGTGAATCTTCATCCTCATCTGACTCTTCCGAGTCGAGCGGTGGGCTTCTATCCAAGCTCTTCTCTCCCAAGCCCAAGAAGGCCACCCCCAACCCCTTCCTTACCCGGGTACCTATCAGCACCGAAGATTTGACCCGGTCCGCTCGCTACACCGGCGGATTCCTCACCCTCCCACCACAGCCCCCACCGCTCAACCCCAACCTGCCTACCTTCACCCACATTCAGCTCGCCTTCGAGGGCCTCGCCATCTCGGACGACGACATCTATGCCCTCGCCACACTTCAGACCCTCCTCGGCGGCGGCGGCTCCTTCTCCGCCGGTGGTCCCGGCAAGGGCATGTACTCGCGCCTGTACACCAACGTGCTCAACCAGCACGGCTGGGTTGAGTCCTGCGTGGCCTTCAACCACTCGTACACGGACTCGGGTCTCTTCGGCATCGCCGCCTCGTGCTATCCCGGTCGCACCCTGCCCATGCTGCAGGTCATGTGCCGCGAGCTGCACTCCCTCACGGCCGAACACGGCTACTCGGCCTTGGGCGAGATCGAGGTTTCGCGCGCCAAGAACCAGCTCCGCAGCAGCCTGCTGATGAACCTCGAGAGCCGCATGGTCGAGCTCGAGGATCTAGGCCGCCAGGTCCAGGTCCATGGTCGCAAGATTCCCGTGCGCGAGATGACGCGCCGTATCAACGAACTGACGGTTAAGGACCTCCGGAGGGTTGCCAAGCGCGTGGTTGGTGGTATGGCGAATAACGCCGGCCAGGGAAGCGGCGCGCCGACGGTGGTGCTGCAGGAGGCGACGGTGCAGGGGCTCAAGACTACCGAGCTGGGATGGGACCAGATCCAGGATACGATTGCTCAGTGGAGGCTTGGTAGACGGTAAAAGTCTGCTAAGAAGAAAACCTGATGAGCAAGAGCAAAAACTGGGTGTGGAAATGTGTGAGGTGTTTGCATTGGACGTAGCGAGCCGGAACGAACGAGCAAAAGGGCGTTTAGGTCTCCATATGAGCATCGACGGGATGGCAATAGAAGGAAAGAGGTTAGATGGTTGCTGCTCTTTGCATGTACAATCACAACTTTTTTCTTGGTGAGTTGTACGAGATGTATAGCATTTACCATATCCAACAACTGTACTATAGTAAGATTTCTGAATACATTAAAAAGTCAAAACTCATCTTGTGCTTTTGTAGTTATAATGACAAAGTGACTTCGGTATAACCATCTCAGTTCTCTACCGTTATTTATCTGTTCCTCGTTTGTACATCAAGCGTAGACTTAAAAGCAGATAGATATCCAAACATCTTGCCACCCCAAACCAATAGAAGCAACGCTACCTACCCTCTTAACTCCTCATTAGAATGCGTGTACAGTGAGTGAAGCCATGTAAAGGTGCTGTAAAACCCTCGCCTCGCCTCCTTCTCCGCCCTTATATCCCAACTCCCAGGGCCCGACCCCCTCTAAAAACATGATCGCTAAAACACCAAAAACACCTCTTCTTGCTTGACGTATATAAACAACCCATCGCTAATGGACTCCAACCAATCCAAAACCCACATCACTCCACGACCACCGCCAAGCATACCTTACCAAACACCCCTGAAACTCCAACTTCAAAGCTTTGACCTAACAGCCTCCAACCTATACTTAACATCCTTCAGCGCCTTAGTCGTCGGCTTCCAGTCGTCAAACTGCTTGAGCAATTCCTCCACCTCATTCGACAGTTCCGACTTGACAAAGTCCTCTTCCAACAGGCCGCGCATGATCCAAGGTAGATGGTATGGGTTAGGGTTGGAGAGGGTGCCGGGTTGCCGGGTTGCCATGTCGCAGGGCACGGATGATGATGTTTTAGTGGTGTTGTTGGTGGTGGTGAGTGTGCTGATGGAGGTGGTTTCTAGGGCGTGGGAGATCGCTAGGCTGTTTGGGGAGAGGGGTTGTTAGTGAGAAGTTTCGAAGGTTTCGGAGGGGGGTAGGTGGGAAAAAAGAGGAAAGGAGGGCAGGGGTTTGAAGGGGAAGGGGAAAGGTAAAGGGGAAGGCTGGGGTCGAACGTACTCGTAAACTTGCTCATCGTCGTAAAGACGAGAGTGGCCATCGCCTGTGTATAAGCTACCAGCAAGAGGGACGGAGAGTTCACGAATAAGTCCGTGGTCGGTGACGCCGAGGTTTCGAAGTTTTAGTGCGAAGCCGACTAGGTGAGCGATGCTGGGAATTGACCGACCGTGTTAGCAAAGCACACTTGGCCTGGTATCGAAGGTCACTTACAAGTCAGGTGCATGGATCCGGCCGTCGATGAATACGGCCCGGTAAATGTACGGATGATGAGCGAGAGCGTAAATGGCGGATTCCAAGGGGACAAGCTGGTCGTCGATGCTGCCGATATACGTGATTCGAGCCCCATAGCTCAACACCGCCTTGACAGCCGTTTCAAGCCTCTTTGATACCTCGCTTTGCGGGTCTCCAAACTCCCATAGTTCAGCTGCAGACCCCATGAGGATACCCAACCCGGTCTTATAATCTGGGAATGGGCCGAGAGATACACCCGCCATGGCACAAACACCGACCTTGGCTGTGGGAGAGATTACGCCCAGCTCATAGAGTTTCGCCAACAGCATGATGCTAACGGGAACTCCCTGGGAATGGCATGCCAAGATCACGACGTCCGCCTGACGAATCTTGTCAATCCAGTTCAACAACAGCTTCCACAGGTTTTCCACGCGCTCTTCGATCTTGCCCTCGCCCTCAAGGGCGACCTTTTCGATCTCGCAGTCTCCGCAAGCGTGACTTTCAGCCCATCTTCTGATCGCTTCAGCACCGTGGTTCGCAAACTTAATCGATGTTCCAGTCGGCTGTCCTGTTAACGGGCGCAGATAGTATGTGGGGATCAACCCGTGTACTCCAAACGCGATAGCCTTTTTGATCTTGGGCGGCTCCCTGGCAATGTTGACATGCTTGGGCGCCGGCTGTTGAGTTCGAAGCAGGTAATTTTTTATCTGGCGGACAATAGAAGGGTTCTCTTTCATCCGGTACACGTTGTGGAATGATGGGAGGACAAGATTGGGAGGCGGCAGTTTGATCGAACTCGAACTCTTGGACGTTCCAGCTTTAGGTGTTCCCTCAGTCTTGGCAATAGGCTCAACCTTGGGTGTATCAGGGCGGGAAATGGGCTCCTCGACCATCGATTGAGGTCTTGCCCGTTTGCCTTTGGTCGATGAGTTTTCCGTTAACGGAGGTGTGATAGCCCTAACCGACTTTAATGATGGCTCCTTGGTTGGCTCTGTCTCCGGCTCGGTCGCATTTGCGTTCTTCGGTTGAGACTCTGAACTTTCCCCCACCACAGCCAGCTGGCCAGTTTCCTTTTTCTGTCCGTCTTTCTTATTTGGCGTCGATCCCGAATCACGATACCAGAACGCCCAAGTGGAACCCAACTTTGGCTGTTGAGCTGGGGCCGGTTTAGCCTCTTCTACTGGAGGCGCATCCTGCATTTCACCATCCTCCGAATCCTTTGGCGGTTGGTTTGTTGATTCCTCCTGTGGTTCCCCTGTCGACGCCGTTGAGTCCGTCTGTTGTTTCGTTTCCGTCGATCCACTCCCAGGCCAGAACCCAAACAGATAACTTCCATAAGTATAAGTCGGCTTTTCCTGAGTTGTAGCCTGTGGCGTAGGTACTTGGGCATCTGGCGCCTTTGGCGGATCTTCGTCTGACGGCATGTTGTTTTCTGGTTCGTCGGTTGGTTTGGATGGTTCAGGTGCTTCGGGCTCGTTCTCGTTGGACTTGAGTTCGCTAGGCTTTGGCATAGGCGGGGCACCGGCAGTTAACACTGGATAATAATAGTATGCAGACTGTCCCAACCACCCTAGCCAGCTAGATGAAGCAGCTTCTCCCGATTGTGGTTCTTTGGTAATAGACTGTGACTCGGCAGGCTGCTGTGTACCATTTGTATCTGTCGTCGGTTGTGGTTGTCGCTGTTGTTCGGTGTCTTGTGATGGGCGATCCTCGGCTTCATTGCTGCCAGTGGTACTAACAGCGACTTGGTCGGTCTTGGCAGCGTTATCGTCCACTGCCTGCCCCGACTTCGGTACCTCACCGCCTGTGGATCCCCTATCATCAAGGTTCTCGGATCGTGACATGTTTGGAAGAGACGAAGATGAAGCTGCACCGTCGAGACTGACACTGTCGGAGCTTCTTCCTGTATCAAAGCGGCTAAAGTCTGCTCGCTTTTTCGGGTTGAGTGTTCCGCCCATTATTGTTTCGCGGGCGACTTGTGTTGAGGGTGTCGATTTGCGTGGCCATGAGCCGTACCAACTTCGAGCTTTATGGGGCTGGGAGTCTGTTAGCATTTGTGTGTAACACTAACAGGCTAGATATGGTGGCGGAAGAGGAATAGGCTACCTCTTTCAGAGCCCTCTTGCTCGAGATGGATATTGTATCTGCGGTCGCATTAGGTTGAGACGTTGAGAGAGCATTTTCGGGTGTCGAGGTCGTCGTCGAAGCCGGGCTCGAAGCGGTCGGCGTAGGAACGGTTTTTGAACGCCATATGGAGGCTGCCAGACTCGATGATGATTTCGGCGGCATATCGGGTGTGGGCGTTGAGGATTCGGTGACAGCACTACCATCGGCCGTCTCTGTGGAAGGGTTTGGCTTCGCCTTCTTTCGAGGACCCATGGTGAAGACCATGGCGAGCAAGGCCAACAACGGATGCCTCTAAGATTATAGGGCGAACTTGGGCCCCATTGCCGTTTGTTTTGTTGAGTTGTCGAGTCGAAATGATGGAAGGAAATGGGAATGCGACAAATGTTGCGTGGCGCCCATAGGGACAAGTTGACAAGACCAGGCACCGCTCAGGCTTACAATCAATCCGGATACCTATGTAAGGTACCTAAGGTACTTCTGCTTACACGCGGTCACCGGGGAGAGGCAGCGCTTTCATCCATTATCAAAGGCTCCAGCTCGGATGCATGTACGTCATTTGCCAGGTAGCGCACAGTCCAGGGAACCAAAGAGGTACCTGAAGAACCACGTGAACGAATGCTGATATCGTTAGTGTCAAATTCTTTTGATCGAACATCTTCCATCAGATTGAAGAATGTTTCAATCCCGTATCAAAATGGGATTCAAAAACGCGAAATCGCAAACCCCGAAGGATGCCCAGTTGTACCTCACACTCATCCAATAACTTCCCAATCGCAGTTTCTCGTTCTTAATAACGGCCTGCAAGTGCAGTACCGTACAGTATTCTACCTCACCTTCCCTGCAACGCATGCGGCTGACCCGCTGTGCAAAAGGTACCTGGCCAATGTGACAGCGTCCTGTCAGCTGATGCCGTGGCACTCGTGGACAGGCGAGACAGGGACACCCCGCAAGAAACGACCCCAATGCCAGTGGATGCACGCCGTAGAGGTAGACATTGGCAGAATGACAGCCGCTGCCGACCGCCTTCCTTATCGTTATCGGGCCGCAGCGAACGGCGACGGACCCACCAAAAATTTTCGGCAGCGGATGTACAGTGGAAGCGGCCTGGGTCAGTTTTTGTCAGTGCTGTTCGATCGATTCTGAAGTGTGAAGGCGGGCAAAGGGACGAGGGATCCAGTGCGGATATCTCTCCAATTTGCAACTCCAACACATCCATCCATCCCATCCTTTCTTTATACCCATATATCATTCATGATGGGTGCGCAAAAGCGCAAGGAAGGCCCGGGCGGCGCCCCGGTCAACAAATCAACACAATCAGCTTCCGAATCGACGAGACCTTCGAAGCGGCCAAAGTCCAACGATGCCCCCAACAAGAAGGCGGGCGCAAAGAAGCCCGGCCCCAAGTCCGACAAGCCCGCTCCTCCTGCTCCTACCGCCCCGGCCAACTCGTCGCTGCTCAAGGAAGAGGAGCCCATGTTCCCCAGAGGCGGCGCCAGCGTCCTGACACCTCTTGAATACAAGCAAATCCAAGTCCAGGCCAGGAGCGACGCCCTGTTCGAGGAGCAGTCAGGCAAGGCCGACGCAAAGAAGGCTGGTGGTGAGAAGGAGGGCAAGCAAAAGAAGTCCAAGAAGAGGTCAAAGGGCGACGACACACCCGCTAAGCCTGACGAGGACGCCGTCAAGGTCGAGAGTCTTAACTTCAAGGTATGCGCCGGAAGCTCTCATGGATTCTCCAGTCCGGTCAAAGTGCTAACTTCTCGTAGCGTCTGGTCAAGGGCTCTTTGGTCCTTGGTTCCGTCTGCGCCATCAACGCCCTCGACATTGCCGTTGCTCTACCAAATAATATCATCGGCCATGTCCCCATTACTGCGATTTCCGCCCCCCTCACAAAACGCCTGGAGGCAAGCGCCGGCGACGACGACGCTGAAGAGTCGGACGACGAGAACGAGAACGACGTTGACCTCGAATCCATCTTCCAGATCGGCCAGTATGTGCGCGCCTACGTTGTATCCACCGTCGACGAGGCCTCTACACACACTCCTGGAAAGGCTAAGCGCCATATCGAACTCTCTCTTCAGCCCTCTCTCGCCAACACCGGTATGGCGGAGCAGGACGTTGTTGTGAACAGCACAGTTATGGCCGCTATTGCCAGTGTGGAGGACCACGGTTATGTCATGGATATTGAGATCGCCGATTCAAAGTTGCAAGGTTTCCTTGCTCGCAAGCAGGTCGACAAGAGCATTCCCCAGGAGGCCCTTCAGCCGGGTGCTGTCCTTCTCTGCATGGTCACCAAGAGCGCCAAGGGCAAGATCGTTCAGTTGTCCACATTGGGTGAAACCATTGGCAACGTTGAGAACGTCCCGGCGGCTGCCACCACTATCGACACTTTCCTTCCCGGTACTGCCGCCGACGTGCTCGTGTCCGAGGTTTCCAACCACGGAATTGTTGGCAAGATTATGGGATCGCTGGATGTCACTGCTGATTTGGTTCACTCCGGTGCTGGCCCTGATGGCGTTGATCTCGAGGACACATACAAGGTTGGCTCTCGCCTAAAGGCCAGAGTAATCTGCAACTTCCCTACTGCGAAGAACCCCAAGTTGGGTATCTCCGTACTAAAACACGTCACCTCGTTGAAGCCCAAGACTGCTTCCAAGGACGAGCAACCAGTTGTGCCATTGCAGGCTCTTCCTCACTCGACAATCGTGGAGAAGTGCACCGTCAAGCAGGTCGAGCCCGAGATCGGTCTCTACGTCGATGTCGGTGTCGAGGACGTGTCTGGTTTCGTCCACATTTCCCGTGTCAAGGATGGCAAGGTTGATGCTCTTTTTTGAGAACAGCGGTCCTTATAAGGTGGGATCTGTTCACGCTGGTAGAGTTGTTGGTTACAATGCCTTCGACGGCATGTACCTCATCTCGTTGGAGAAGAGTGTTCTCGAGCAGCCATTCCTTCGCATCGAGGACATTCCCGTTGGTGCTGTTGTTTCTGGTGTGGTTGAGAAGATGGTCCTCAACGCGGCCGGTGTTGGCGGCCTTATCGTCAAGATCGCTGATGGTATCTCTGGTTTGGTACCCGAGATGCACTTCGCTGATGTTCACCTTCAGAACCCTGAGAAGAAGTTCCGGGAAGGCCTGAAGGTGAAGGCCCGTGTGCTCTCGACTGATGCTGCCTCTCGCCAGATCCGCCTTACTCTCAAGAAGACGCTCGTCAACTCTGATCTCCCCGCCATCCAGACTTACGATGAGATTACCGTTGGCCAACAGGCGCTCGGTACCATCATCAACGTCTTGCAACACGGTGCGATTGTGCAGTTCTACGGCAGGCTCCGTGGTTTCTTGCCAGTCTCCGAGATGAGCGAGGCTTACATCCACGACCCCAAGGAGCACTTCCGTGTTGGCCAGACTGTCAGCATCTACGTCATCAGCTTCGATCCCGACGCCGCCAAGCTTATTGTTTCTTGCAAGGACCCAGCTGCCTTCGGTCTTGAGAAGCAGTTGGCCCTCAAGAAGCTTCAGATCGGTGATGTGGTGTCGGCCAAGGTCACGCAAAAGACTGACGACGATGTCTTCGTTGAGCTTGCCGATAGCTCTCTCAAGGCCATCCTCCCCGTTGCTCACTTGACGGATAAGTCGGTCAGCAAGACTCAGTCTGCCCTCAAGAAGATCCATGTCAACCAGACTCTTTCCGAGTTGGTAATCTTGGAGAAGAACGAGGCTCGCCGTTCCATCATCCTCTCTCAGAAGCCCATCCTCGTCAAGGCTACCAAGGAGGGCAAGTTCCTTACTAGCCTCGATGGCGCTCGTGTCGGAGAGGAGGTTGCCGGTTACGTTCGCAACATCACTGCTACGGCTGTCTTCGTCCAGTTCGGTGGCAAGCTGACTGCCTTGCTTCCCAAGTCTATGATTCCCAAGGAGGATCAAGACAAGCCCGACTTCGGCATGTTCAAGTCTCAGTCTATTACTGTCAAGATCACCTCCGTTAACAACGAGCTCAACCGCCTGGTTGTTGCTGTCCCCGGTGCTACGGAGCAGGTCAAGAGGGTCGATACCAAGGGCGAGAAGCTCGCTAACCCTGTGGATGAATCCATCACCTCCTTGGATGACATCTCCATCGGCAAGCTGACCAAGGCTCGCGTTGTGTCCGTCAAGGATACCCAGGTCAACGTCCAGCTCGCTGACAACATCCAGGGTCGTATCGATGTTTCTCAGGTGTACGACAACTGGGAGCAGATCAAGGACACCAAGAAGCCCTTGAAGAAGTTCCAGCCCAAGCAGGTCGTCCCTGTCCGTGTGTTGGGCGTCCACGACGCTCGCAACCATCGCTTCCTCCCCATCTCCCACAGGTCCAGCCATTCCGTCCTTGAACTGTCCGCGAAGCCGAGCGATGTCAAGGAGGGTGCCTCTTCCGAGGCCCTGTCCTTCGACAACCTCAAGGTTGGTTCCAGCTACGTGGGCTTCGTCAACAATGTTGGCCAGGGCCACCTTTGGGTCAACCTTTCCCCCACCGTTCGCGGCAGAGTCAACGCTATGGAGGCCTCCGATGATGTGTCGTTGTTGACCAACCTTGCGAAGAACTTCCCTATCGGCTCGGCCCTTCGTGTCCGCGTCGTCTCTGTGGATGCCGAGTCCAAGCGCCTCGATCTCTCTGCCAGATCTCCTGGTTCCGAGGACGAGTTGACTTGGGACAAGATCGCGCAGGATGTCATCCTTGTCGGCAAGGTTACCAAGGTCGATGAGCGCCAGGTCATTGTCAAGCTCAGTGAGACTCTTGCTGGTCCCGTACACAAGGTTGATCTTGCTGATGACTACGAGGAGGCCAACCCTGCCAAGTTTGCCAAGAACGAGATCGTCCGCGTTGCTGTCGTCGAAGTTGACAAGAGCAACAAAAGGATACGTCTGTCTACCAGACCTTCTCGCATCCTCAACTCTTCGCTTCCTGTCAAGGATAAGGAGATTGTTCAGCACACCAAGCTTGAAGTCGGCGAGATTGTCCGTGGTTTCGTGAAGAACGTTTCTGACAAGGGTCTCTTCGTTACCCTCGGTGGCAATGTCACTGCCTTTGTCCAGATCAAGAACCTCTCTGATGCTTACCTCAAGTACTGGAAGGAGCAGTTTCAGGTCGATCAGCTCGTCAAGGGCCGCATCGTCTCTGTTGCTAACGGCCGTATCGAGATGAGCTTGAAGCCCTCTGTTGTCGACAAGGACTACGTTCCCCTCACCACCATCTCCGACCTCAAGGAGGGCCAGACCATCACTGGTCGCGTCCGCAAGGTTGAGGAGTTCGGTGCCTTCATCGACATTGATGGCTCCGACAACCTCTCTGGCCTGTGCCATCGCAGCGAAATGTCCGACAAGGCCGTCAAGGATGCTCGCAAGTTGTATGAGGAAGGCGACAAGGTCAAGGCCAAGGTCCTCAAGGTGGATGCTACTGCCAAGAGAATCAACCTCGGCTTGAAGCCTTCCTACTTCGGCGAGCAGGGTGACGAGGATGAGATGGATGTTGATGAGGAGGCTGCTGAGGACAGCGAGGGTGACGACTCTGATGAGGATATGAGCGACGCTGACGGTGCCGTCCAAATCACTGGCACCGACAACATTGAGGAGGACTCTGAAGATGAAGACGAGGGCAGCGATGTCGAGATGGCTGATGCCTCTGACGTCAAGGGTCTCGAAGCCGGCGGTTTCGACTGGTCTGCTTCTTTGGAGGATGGCGAGAAGGCCGACGCTTCTGCGGCTGATCTTGAGGCTTTGGCCAAGAAGAAGAAGGCTCGCCGTGAGCCTCAGATTACTGTCGATAAGACTGCCTCGCTCGATGTTAACGGACCTCAAACCGCCAGTGACTACGAGCGTCTCCTTCTTGGTCAGCCCGACTCCTCCCAGCTCTGGATCGCCTACATGGCCTTCCAGATGCAGGTGAGCGATTTGGCCGCTGCCAGACAAGTTGCTGAGCGTGCCATCAAGACCATCAACATCAAGGAGGAGATTGAGAAGTTGAACGTCTGGATTGCCTATCTCAACTTGGAGGTTGCGTATGGCAACGAGGAGACCGTCGATGAGGTGTTCAAGCGTGCTTGCACGTACAACGACAAGCAGGAGGTCTACGAGCGTCTAGCCAGTATCTACATCCAGTCCGGCAAGCGCAAGGTAAGCTTATACCACACACTATAGACCTCTATGATTACAGATTCGCTAACATAATTCCTCAACAACAGGAAGCCGATGACCTCTTTGAGAAGATCGTCAAGGAGTTCGGCTACAAGTCGCCCGAAGTCTGGGTCAATTACGCCCACTTCCTGCACACGACCATGCACTCGCCCGACCGCGCCCGCGCCCTTCTTAAGCGCGCCACCCAGGTTCTCGGCAAGGAGACGCATCTGTACATCGCGCTCCTGCCCAAGTTCGCCGCGCTTGAGTTCCGCTCGCCCAACGGCGACAAGGAGCAGGGTCGCACCCTCTTCGAGAACCTGCTGGCCACCTACCCCAAGAAGTTCGACTTGTGGAACCAGCTTATCGACCTCGAGACCTCTGCGGCCGACGCCGACAAGGGTGTCATCCGCGATCTGTTCGATCGCGGCAGCAAGGTCAAGGGCCTCAAGCCCCGCCAGGCCAAGGCCTGGTTCAGGAGGTGGGCCCAGTGGGAGGAGAAGAACGGTGACAAGAAGAGCAGGGAGAAGGTCAGCGCCAAGGCGCAGGAGTGGGCGAGGACCGCAGCGGAAAGGAAGAAGACTGCTGCTAACGCTGCGGCCCAGGAGGACGAGGAGGAGAGTGATGAGGAGTAGATGTGATGATATCCCCTTTGACGGTTGTGTTTGGTTTGCGATGTGTTATACCACCTACTGGGAAGCAGAAGAAGAAGAAGAAGAAAGACGGGCTAGGGTTTTGCTGCCGCCCAGCCAAGTCGACATACGGTTATAGATAAGAGAGACAGGCAAGGAAAAAAGGAGAAGCATGCCCAGGCGCTTTTGTAGTAACTTTTGTATATAGGGTTCGGTTGTCTTTTTTTTTTCCTTTTTTTCAATTTCACAAAAGCCTGATGTTTAAATTTTCATATGTTTTTGTTCGATCTCAGACAACTTTTTCCCCTGGTGTCACAAATAATGCACATACATCCCTGGGGGTTTGGATATACCTAGAAGCTCACAGACACTTGTCAGAATTCCGTCCGTTTCTCTTCATGATAAAAGGTACATAGTCAGTGACTACCAGACAAAGAGGATCCGGCATAGTTGCGTGTCCTCCTTTCTCCGCTACACATTCTCGCCTATTCCTCGTCTTCTTCCTCCCCTGCATATTCCCGCCTATTCCTCGTTAAAGACAGCAGGCACTTCAGTCATAACACTAAACTGAAATAGTCAGTCGTATTGAAAACAGCTTGTAGACTAGTTTGGATCATTCGCAACCTTCCATCTTCCCTCCTCGGCTCATCAGGCAGACTCCCAGAAACAAGATGCTAGATGCTTTCATAGGTTACCACTTTTACTGGATATAGTACATACGACCATACCCACT